AACTTATGTTATTTCCAGCACCCTCTTAAAAACACAAACAGCACCCTTCAAGAACCCTAAAGTTTACGCTTCTTACTCTGTTCCAACATGACACTTGCGGTCTACAGCGGATCGGATTAACAAGTCCATTTTGCGTGGCAGGTACAGCACGGTCAGATTTCCACACCCGTTTAAATTTATAATATTTATAAGGCTTTCAGGTGTGGAAATCTGACCGCAACTGAGGTGTCGACATGTTGCACGTAGGATTCTAAGGGGAAAGGGTTTGTGATGTTTTAGAAGTCAAGAAGCGCAACTTTTGGCACCCCAGTGTATTGCTACTTCCTCTGCTTGACCCGGCCGCGGCCTTCTTCACCCAAAGGATTCCCTGCTTGACCGTCGCGCTACGTACGTACGACCGTCGTGACCGAGCCGACCGGACCGAGCCGACCGGATGGCGCGCGGCGTGCGCGTCACAGGTCGACCGATGGCCTATGTGGCTCAGCGCCCGTGGCTGCTTGGCGCGAAGAGGGGTGTGGTTAAGGCAAGCGCTGACTGAACAGAAGGAGAGAGAGAGAGAGAGTGTGGGCTCCATGAAGCCGGCCGGCCCTTGATTTTGCTTCGGGATGGGACGGAAAGCGAGGCTCGCGACGGGCTTCTCGATGGAATCAGGTTTGCGAGGGTATTCCATGTGTAGACAACCCTGCACTGCTTAGGGATCTCCATTGGACACCCGGTTGGATGGTCCACAGTATACACGTTCCTTCATTTGCACGGACACAACTCTTGACCCGACTTTCGGATTCAGAGCATGACTTGGTGCGCCAAAGCCTCGAGGCTGTTGAACGGCACGCTGATCGAGAATGTGACCTTTGGCCACGCGTACCACGAGCAAAGGATCCAAGAGACACTCGAGAGCTGTGCTTTGCTGCAGGTGCATGACTCGGGGAGGGGTGGAAGGCTGTCAGTCGGATGCCACCAAAGAGCAGTGCAAGAGTACAGGCAAAAGACTCATCAAGTCCTTTCGAGGTCGAGCGCGTATGAGGCCCAGGTTGAAGATTCAAAGAAAGTCGCTGACCGTGCTCCTACTGAAGGGGATACCTATCAAAAAGAAAATTGATTCCTATCAATAAAAAAATTGTTTCCTATCAAAAACAACATTAGTTCGTATCAAAAAGAAAATTCCCTCTACTCCTTTGGTCCTGGCCTGCTGGTTCCCTGATCGCTTGGTCCTTTGCTCCCTTTGTCCTGGTCCCTTGGTCCCCTGGTCCCTTGTTCCCCCTGGTCCCTTGGTCCTCTGGTCCCTTGGTCCTCTGGTCCCTTGGTCGCCTGGTCCCTTGGTCCTCTGGTCCCTTGGTCGCCTGGTCCCTTGGTCCCTGGTCCTCTGGTCCCTTGGTCCTCTGGTCCCTTGGTCCTCTAGTCCCTTGGTCCTCTGGTCCCTTGGTCCTCTGGTCCCTTGGTCCTCTGGTCCCTTGGTCCTTGGTCCCCTGGTCCTTGGTCCTCTCATCCTCTGGTCCTTCGTCCTGGTCTTCGGGTCCTTGGGTCTGCATTTTCGAGGCAAGACGCGTTCAAGATGATTTGGAGATCTGGTCATACATCCTCTGAAGCACTGTAGCAGACCTTTGATCACCAGACGTAGCAGGCCTTTTTTGTGAGCTACCCTGACGGTAAAATTTGAATGAAGAAGGTGCCACTCCAAGGTAGCAAACCTTTTGTCAGCCACTTGAGGGTAAAATTTAGAAGAAGAAGAAGGAGCCATTCCAACGTTGCAGACCTTTTGTTAGCCTTGCGAGGTAAAATTTAGAGGAAGAAGTTGTCATTCCAACGTAGCAAGCCTTTGTTTTGTGAGCAACCGCGCCTGCCACGCAGTCTGCACTTCGAGGTTCAAGTGCTGCGCCTGCAATGAAATCTGCAGTTCCAGTGCACAAAGTGCTGCGCCTGCCGCGAAATCTGCAGTTCCAGTGCGCAAAGCGCCGCTCCTGCCACAAAACCTGCCACTGGAGGTGCTCAAAGTGCTGTGCTTGCCACGAAATCTGCACTTCCAGTGCGCTAAGTGCCGCTCCTGCCACGAAATCTGCTACTGAAAGCGCTCAAAGTGCTGCGCCTGCCACGAAATCTGCACATCCAGATTCACATCGCGCAGCGCTGCCATGGCGGTTCGCAGTGGCAGGCACAGCTTTTAGTGAAAGGATATTTTCTTTTTGATACTAATTAATTTTCTTTTTGATAGGATATAGAAAATTTTCTTTTTGATATATATTTATTTTCTTTTTGATAGCCCGGCCCTACTGAAGACCCTTTTCAGCTCCATATGAAAGACCGCGTTCCAAACCAGCATGTGTTGAAGCCTAGTGACCTCCGGAGCGTCCGGACGCAAAAGCAAACTGGGAACTCCAGCTCTTGACACATCGACGTGATGTTCACGTCAGGTTACACATGGGTTACACGTTCTTCTAGAAAAACACACCCATCTTAAGCCACCGACGAAACACATGGAAGTCCAGTCGTCCAGTCGGCGCCACGCGTCGACCGCATTGGGAGGACCCTATTCCTTCCGACCCCAACAGCAAGGGGTCAGCGTCGAACCATGGTGGCCCGCAGATCGAAGCATGTGGCCGATCGAGTCTCCGAAACCAAATCGCTGAATTTCATGGGCGCCTTCGCTTGTTTCGCCCATCGGGTTGTTCGAAGAGAGCGGCCACCACCCCATGTGGTCCCTTGCGTTCGTGCCTGGTCCGGTCGCTAGGGCCGCTAGGGTCCCTCCTTTTCACCGTCGCCGGGTCGGGCGATCGGAAAACACCCACCCGGGCCGTCGACTGTCCACCACACGGTCCACGCCATCGGTTTCTTTCCGACGCTCCGAGGGAGGCTTCGCGAGTTGCCTCGAGCCGGGGGACGTGTCGGTCCTCGTTTCCTCGTTTCCTCGTCCTCGTTCGTCGTTGTCCGAAAGGACTTGGCGTCGTTGCCGGGGGGCCGAAGCACCTTGGTGGGCGAGGAGGGCGTCCAACTCTCGGGGGGACAGAAGCAGCGCGTGGCGCTGGCGCGGGCGGTCTACAGCGGTGCGGAGGCGAGGGATGCCAGTCTCATGAGTCTCATGAGGGAGGGAAGACCACGGTGACACTCGAGTGACACTCATGAGATACACTTACTCTGGACCCTGGTGACCGTGGTGACCGTGTCCTCCTTTGACGTCGACCGGTCCCGGCAACTCGTCGCAGGTGGTGCTCCTGGACGACGTGCTTTCGGCGCTGGACGCCCACGTGGGCAAGCAGATCTTCGAGGCGGTCATCGCTGGAGCGCTGCGCAGATCGACGCGACTGCTGGTGACGCACCAGCTGCAGTACTGGTCACATCCGGAGGCGAACTGGGTGGAACTGGGTGGAACTGGTGTTTTCCAAGTCCGGGGAGTGCTGGAAGAAAGGATGACTGGAAGACTGGAAGTCTGAAGATCTGGTGATGACTGGTGGACGAACTTTGGGAGACGGATGATGACTGGTCGTTTTCGTGGAGACGAGATGGTGTGGGGGTGTTGATGGGATGTACCATTCTTTCGGAAAGAGCTTGACCCGAACTTATGTTTGGATGATGATGTTCCTTTACCAGGAGAACGGTACTCGCACGTTAGTTTGTGTGTATGGGAATGGTGGCTTGGTGATGGACCATCTCCACCCCAAGCCACTCCCTTCTTGTGGAATGCGAGTTCTGTTTTTGGTCCTGGGGAAGTTCTGAATAGACAGTGCTGGTTTTCGGCAGAGAACATCTTCAAAGCCCCATCGAACAGCACTCACATGCACTCACCAATCCAACCACTCACCTGCTCACGCATGTGGGTGCTGAGTGGCCAGACCGGTCTTGTCAACAACAGTGGAACAAATACCATTTCACCGCCTCAAAGATCACTCGTTTAGTGGCTTCTCACTGGTTCTGGCAGCCCAGGTGAACCGCATTTTGCTCCTCCGCGCAGATGGCAGCTGCCACTTTCTGGGAAGTCTCTTGGCCACGGTGGGGGATGCTGCATGGATGCAGAACTGATCCATGCTACTGTCCGGTCGCCCACAACCCTGCAACCCATGGTTTTCAATGGGCACATGCCACTCAATCAGTTCTGCTGTCAGCAAGGCCACAAAATCACATCGACTGTGCTTGGTGGCAATCGCCGACCAGAGCCAGGTTCCCCGTGCCCGTGCACTCAGCTCCCGCCCCTCCTCGAGGCTATCAGGAACTGGTGAAAGCGCAGATCCATGAGCTCACGGCACTGCAGTCCGAAGAAGCCGAGCACGGCAAGGACGAAAAGGAGAACGGAGACGTGGAGAAGGCCACTTGGGCCATTGGCCATGTTGTTAGACCAGAAGAATCGCAGCTGGAAGATTCGGAGACATGCCGATCTCTTCCAATCTCAAGTGGTTGAAGCTTCAGATCGCTCCAGTGCTCCAACGGGTCACCCGCCCGGTCACCACCCATGGGTTTTCCTCTAAGGAGAAGTCGCAGGTGAAAGCCGCCGACGCTGAGACCGTGAGTCGATGCTCGGACGGCCCGACCGAGACGTCGAAGTGATCGTTGAAAAAATGGTCGACTGGACTCCCAGGGTCACCATGAAGCATACCTCTATAAATACCTCTAAATACATCTCTATGCTATACGTCTCTATACCTCGATCTAAGCCTACCTCTCTCTCTCTTTTGGAACACGAGCGCACCGTGTCGTTCGCCTCTGACCGCACGCAAGCGCACGCGAGTCGGTCGGTCGTCGACTCTGAGGACACCTGGAGTCTCAAGAAGTTCGACGATTAGGACATATCCTCAAGGCTGACCTCATGGCCTATGCCAGAGCTTGTGGAGGCTTAGGCTGGACCCGAGATTCGGCTGTGAACGGTGGTTCTTGGCCCACTGGCTTGCTGTGCTTGGTGCTGGGGCCGCCGCAGGTGTTCAAGACGCCCAGTTTGGTTTCTGAAGGTCTTCTCTTTGTGAAGGGTCCATTCTTCGTCAGATTGGCTGACAGCATCGACATGCATCGACTCCTCCTTCGCATCCAGACTCGCATTGGGTGACAGCACATCCTAGTGAAGATGGCATAGTCCTGCCCTGCTGAAAATGCTGAAATTCACACTTCTCAAGTTCATCATCTGTTTCTTTGGATTTTTTGTGCGTAGGTGGTGTGTCCACCATTGCCTCTTTGATGGTCGCCACTTGGTGCAACAGATGGGGATCGGCCACACCGAGCGAGCGAGCGAAAGGGACACGTGGACCACTCTCCTTATTGCGGTCAACGACCTCGGAGACCGGTGACCGCGAGACCACCTGCAGGGGATTGTTGTTTTATATCTGGGGCATGCTGCAGCTGCAGTGAGTTTCTGCATGAGACAGCCAAGGACATGCTGAGAATATGGGACAACCGCACGAAGATTCCCCACAAAAGCGTGGTTGACCAGCTTTCGGGACGTAACTGCACGCCTTTTTTGGAGGATACGTAGTCTCTAAGAAAGCCATAGAATACGGGTAAGAATGCGGGAAACAACGGCCGCACTTAGTGGAGACACGAATCCATGGGCCCTTTTGGCCCTGCGCTTCACCTCTTTCCAGAAAGACAGCGTGCTTCAGCAGAGAATTTGGGATCATCGTTTTTTGGCTGTTTCGATTGCGGAAAGTATCAACTTTTTTGCCTCAGACAGACCCTATAGTGGACAGCAACCATGTGGGCAGTCCATTCACCTCCGAAGTCCTTACCAAGAGCGAAAGCGCAGAGTGAATGGGATGACCAGGTCTACTATGGTGCGCAGCTCAGCTCCAGTTTGCAGCTGGCCTTTTGGTCCAACGCCAACGTGCAGGCGGAGGATAGCGGACACCCTGAGGCGGGGGCCAGGGGGGCCGAAAACAGAGGTCTTTTGCTTTCCAAGAAGATGTCCAATCCTTCCTGGGCACGTTTCAAGTTGCTTCAGTTATGTTTTAGATGTTACAACGCGCATGTTCAACAAGCCAACGACCCCCCCCCACAAGTGTCCCCTGTGCGCACCGTTTCGCCTTTTCTTTCCCCCGCCGGTGTCCCTCCAAGGCGCGGGAGGCTAGTCGGAGATACTTGGCGCCCGCGGCAGCAGAGCGGTGGTCGCATGAGTTGACGCTGTCCAGGGTCAGACCACGGGTCGGTCCCTTCACACGGAACAGTGAATTGGTTGATCTGTGGTCCATCTGAGCCTCCAATGATTTGCCCACAGACACTGTGGAGAGTTTTTCCCCAGACAAGACACTTGTGTCAGCTTGTCGAAAGCTCACTTTGCATCATGATGGGGTCGATGTGGTGCCTTACAGCTCAACTATCTCAGTTGAAACAAGCTGGTCTGGTGGAGATCTTAGGGTTTGACCTGATATATCTTCTCTTTACCAGCTAAGGTACGGCCAAATCTATCACCATTTTAAACATTTCATACAGTAGAGTTGGATTTTTCAGCCTATAACCTGCTTTGGAGTGAGCAACCTTTCAGTGTTGTTAAGCGGAAAGGAACAAAGCACAGACACCTGCGTAATTCTGTGTGGCTCTGGTTGTAAAATTGCCGGTTCTTCTCAAACGATGGTGTTCTTTTCGTGTACTCTCGCGGCTCACGCTCTCACCTGCACTTGAGGTGCAGTACATGGCTTTGTGCCTCCTGACGGGCTGCAGTTGCTTTTGCTTCTTCTTCGGCATCCAGTTGGTGGCCCTGCGCGCCTCCAAGCGGCTTCATGACCGCTTCATGCAAGGCCGGCCAGGATGGATCGAAAGCGTCCTTGGGGACCTGCCGAAGTGGTGAAGAGCAGAATGAAGCACCACAGCCAGTTTACCGTCCACACGGAGGGTGCAAGGGATGGCTTGAGCAGAATGAAGCAACGCAATCAGATGGTGAAGATGGGTTTGTTTCATCTTTTGTTGTGAAGTCCTTCAGATGAATGGGTCCACACCTCCTGCTTAGGGATCAAGGATGGATCAAGAATTCAACCAGGCGATCACCAGAAAAAGAACACAAAAATAACAATCTCACCATCTCCCTAGGCTTCCAACCACCATTCTTTTTGGCTTTGACCCGGTTTCACCATGGTTTTACGATAAGTTTTTTACACTACAACACCAGGTCGTTATCGTTACCGAACTCTTTTAATGGTCTACCAGTACCCTCACAACACCAGGTCCTTCGTTGAGGAAGGGAGCTGACTCTCCCAGGTCGAAGCATTGGTGACCTGTTTTGTTTTCTCTTTTTTGTCGGGTCCTCGAACTCATTTTAGTTATCATCGTTTCATGTCTCTGTTTTTGAACACCCATCGTTTCCTACATGTTTTTACTAACGATTTTACACTTAAAACAAAGAAAAACATGTTCTTTTCTTTGAACCACTTGTTAAACATGCTCGGGTTCCGGACAGACTTCCAGGACCCTCCCAACACCACATGTCAGTCTGTTGCTCGAGGCCTCATGTACACGCAGCTCCGCTTCTTCGATCTCACCCCCACGGGCCGCGCGCTGAACCGATGCCTCAAGGTCCGGACGTCCCGGGGCAACGACGTGCCGGACGGAGGGGTCCAACGGCTTCGTTTGCCGTTCCTTTTTGTTCGGTGAAAGCGAGAAAGACCATCAAAAGAGTTCAGTTGAACCTGGTTTTGCAGTGTAAAACCTTAGTATAGAACAATGGTTCTTCGCGATTCAGCCTGTGAACTGGGCCAGGAATCGGAAATGACCAACGACTCAACCATTGCCGGGGCCATCCGGACCGACTAGACCTGTGTGGTCGCCGCATAAAGAATTGGTGGTCCATGTTCTTCTTTTCAACATCGACCTAGTTACCCCGTTCGTGAACTTGGTACCAAGCGAGCCGGCTGAGCCGACGGTCGCGCGGCTTTTGGACCACGTCGGACGAGTCATGTTGGTTAGATAGGCGGGTGGGCCGGGATCATTAGGCCACTAGGTCCTTGGATTCTGTGACTCGATTGGAAGAATGCCAGCGATTTGGCGCATCGTTTGCAGCAACCAGGATCAACATGACTGATCAAATAGATGTTTTGACCAAAAACCCGGTCGAGCAGGACATGTCCACCATGGACGATCGGATGCCGGCAGCCTTTCGAGAGCTCTTCGAGTCCTGCATGAATGTGTGCCACAGCGTCGAGGGCGGGAGCATGAAGGGAACATGAAGGCGTCAGAGCGGTTCTGCCAAAGGTTCTTCGGGATATTTTATTTTAGGATGACTCGCTGCTTAAAGATTCCTCACGAATGTGGACATCGAAGAAATAGGGTCAGCATGGGTCGTCAAACATGGTTTCCGCACATTGAGATGCAAGGACTGTTGCAAGGCGTTATAGTAGGCCTCAAAAAGTGGGTTCTGATTCTTTGCCATACGAGTAACTCGACAAGCTTGGGCCAGAAGAGGGCAGCAATCTCATTCAAGTCATGCAATAGAACGAAAGACAAAGAGCTTTCCACATGCCAAAGAACACAACATTTTTTTGGGTTTTAGGCAGTACCAAGCCAACTTGCACATAATCCACCCAGTAATACGATGTCAATCGATGTCGATATTTTCCCTGGCCCGCCGGTGGCCAACGTGGCCTGCCGGGCTCTACACATCACTCAGGTGCATCTCGGTTTTGATCCTCAGCCTCTTTGCATGGCAAGCTTTAGCACCTTCGACGAACTTAAGGGTTCGGCTCCGGAACAGGGGAGTTTCGAAGGGAGGCAGACCTTTCTCCTCCATGGGACCCAGGCATCCTGAGGCGGAACCGGGAACAGGCTTTGGCAGGCGGGCTTGGCTCCCTGAGGAACCTGAGTCCTCCCCCAAGCGCAACGACGAGCGATGCGGAACTCACCGGAAGAGTCCGTCCAATTCATCGGAACCGCCGCGCCGTTGTACTCCTCCGAGGTGTTGAGAACACCAGGTCAACTCCACAAAATCTGACAGCTGAAGACTTTGAAGACCATTTCTAGAACCATCATAAGCCAGAATCCTTTCATGAACAATGACAACCATCTGTGGACCCCAAAACCGGCGCCCCTCAAAACACCTTTGTTCGGACGATCGAACTTCACGGCACCCCTTCGTTCGTTCGGTGGTGTCTTCGAGCGGTGTTCGGCGCTTGGGACATCGGCCGAGGTGGTCGTCCCACCGTTCTCGGTGCTCTATTGGATGACCATGACGGTGTACCGCTGGCCCGCACGGGACTTGCGGCGCTTGGAAGGCGAGGGAAGGGAAGTCGAAGATGAAGGATGGTGAAGAATTGAGCAGAAGAAACAAAACAGAGAGGAAGTGAGAAGATCTCAAACAATTCATGGTAGGACAACATGCACGGGCTTTGCGGAACTACTCTTGCTCAGCTAGGGCCAGGGGCCCTTCTCGATCACGCCAGGCACCTCGCGATCACCAGGAATGAGCCACTTTTCCGATTCCATCAAAGGCGCCAGATGCGGCGTTGGGGCCCGTGAAGGATCCAATTCTCTGTGGGACACGATCGGTATTTGTTTGGGCATGCCATGAGAGTCAGAGAGTGGTATCGTATGGTTTGTGTGCGTCTTGTGTCTGTTCAACCCTGAATTCTTCTTCAACACGTTCTTCCGCACGTCGTGCAAGGGCGCCCTTCCTCCATTCCCCACGAATCCATCCTCTCTCGGATTCCATCCTCTCTCGGCTTGGCGTTCCTCTCTCTTGGGCAACGGGACTCGGACCCAGCGCGAGGCGCTCGGACGGTTCGAGCCTATGGGCATGAAGCGCGCTTCCTGCAGAGGAACCTGGTGCTTCGGCAGAGCGGCGGAGCGGCGGAGCGGGCTGGGGTGTGATTGAGAACTGGGGGGGGGTCATCCAGATCGAAAAGCAATGATGGGAACAAGAAAGAACAACTGATTTTTGGGACACACATGTTCTGAACATGTGAAATTCACATCTCACTCCTGCTCCAAGCTGTATTGTGCCCGCGGTTTTTCGCTGTTGAGCCACTGAGGAGCTGCTGGGGCAGAATCAGCTGACGACGTACTGGTTCTGGGTCGCTCAAGCCTGGGTCTCCTGCACTCAGGTTCGGGACGGCGCGGACCGTGCGAGCCCGTGCGAGCCCGGTGGTGTGTGGTCGCCTTCCTGAATCGATTGGAATCGATGGGCGTATATCAAGGCCTTGTTGATGCATGGATCAGGTCGCCTTGTTGGGGATTCAGAGAGTACGAACAAGAAACACAGAGATTGCATTAGAGCTTTTGACGCAGAACTCCCGGAGTTCTCTTTCTGAACCGCTCGTTGGAAGCAACATAGGTCTGGTGGAGCAGATCCAGTGTGTAATTGTAAACAGTCCGTCTTAGAGTCTTACACTCGTGCTGGTGTTATTTTTGTTCGTCACATCCGTCACCCTGAATCGACCAAGGGATATGACATCCCAGTCCCCTCCACACGAGACTTCCGGGGTGGAACTTCCCCTAATCGGACCGGGCGTCATCTCACCAGCCGCAGGAGGTGTTGGGGACGCTGGCGCTGGCGGCTGTGGCCGGCGTGATTGGCTACCGGGCCTATCTGGGCAGTCTGAACCCAGGCCGCGGGGGGGTACGCGACGCATCGCGGGGGCTCCACCAAGAGATTGAGGCCATTTGAGGCTGCCTTAGGCTGATGAACACTTGGGGCGAGTCCGTCCCATGTTTTGGTGTTCCTTTCTTTTCTCTTGAAAGCAAGTACCTTCCATCAAGCTATATATATGTACTATTTTGATGTTGGAGCCAAGTAGGGATGGTCAATTGCATCTCCAAATACGGGCAATACAAAGCATTTGCATCCTTACAGTATTATTCCATGGGGGATGCATCCGTAGGTGCACGACCACTCTCGCCTTTGTCCGTCGTGGAGCATCCAAAGAACGAGGCGGAACACGTTGCCCGGGCAGTGCTGCGAGCGAAGCTCGGGCTGCCCGGCTCGTGTGCGAAAACATGCCAAACACGGTGGTGTGTATCACATGGGTGTGTACCCCCAAAACACGATTTCTTCAAGCCACCGAGCAATCAGGTGTATCAAACAAAATATTGGAGACCTTTGAGGGAACAAGCCCGCTGCAATAAAAGCATCGGGAAATAGACCATACTCAAGACCATAAACCATACACAGCCAAATCAAAAAACCGCCAGAAATGAGGCACGAGCTTCAGAACCTGGATGAACCTGTTGTTTTAGCGGTCAAGGTCAAAGACATGAACTCACTGTTCACTACGCTTGTTACTGTAGAACCAGGTATAACTCCAAAGCCGTTTTCTTCCTTGGGAGAAGAGTCACGTTTGCTTGTCGCTACCAGGCTTGGCAGGCTTGGCTCTCTCCTATGCCATGAGCATGCCACGGAACTTGATGTTCCTCTCACGGCGCCTGGCGACCATGGAGGCGAAGAAAGCATCCCGAATGGTCCGACCTCAAGGAACCGTGGTGTGTTTGACCCTGGGCGGTTGAGTCAGACAGTGGCAGACAGTGGTTGAATCATCAAACTCACTCAGGTGCAACAGTAGATCATGTGGACTCTTGATTCAAAACCCCTATAGATTATATGAAGATCGCTTTAGAACCCAGTCCAAGTGTGGGTGGGGTGGGGTTTTACAGGTTCTATTCATCAAGAGTCTAGACCTAGGAGAAGGTTGTAAAGAGACGACCCAGGAAGCCCGGCTTCCCAAGCCGCGATCCGGTCCTCGTCGAAGGATGAACCAGCAGTCGAACGGTCGTCAGACGAAGCAGTTGGAGACCTGTTGGCGGGGGTTTCAACGCTATTCAGCAGTATATTACTCCTCAGATATTCAAGACTTGTTCACACACACACAAAGGAACAAGAGCAGGCGCCACTGCTTTTTTCATCAGAGAAAGCTTTCGCCCATTTGCGTGCCCCTTTGAATGCCCAAACGCACCGCGCTGTGCCGCCACACAGCGCCAAAGGCGCGTTCTCCGCCGTGTCCACTTTCCGGTTGGCCGGTTCAATTCCCGCCGCTGGGTTTGCTTTCGGTACACTGGGCAGGTGGAGTTCGTGTCCATCGAGCGGGTCATGGAATACACCCGGCTCCCGCACGAAGTGACTGACACGCAGCCCGTGGTGGACGACGAGGACGCCGAGGACCTGCTCCGCGATGCGACGTGGGCGGTGAGGGCCGAGGGGCTCTACTTGCGCTATGACGTGGATGGGCCAATGGTCTTCAATGGCTTATCATTGAAGATCGAGGCCGGGAGGGGCTTGCGATGGCTGGGAGGGTGGTGAAAGGATTTGGAATGACTTGGGACTTTTGGATCAACAGTTGCCTCACCTGACACGGTCCAACCTGCCCACCGCCCACGCCAGCTGCTTCATCCCGCCTCCACAAAAGACGTGGTCACCCGTGGATGCAGCTGATGCACGTTTCGGAGGCTGAGGTCGAACACAAACTTGTCACTCATTAGTCTGTAAGTAGACCCAAGGGAGGCTTAAGAGAAGTATAGACGAAGAGGTATCCACCTTTATCCTCCTTTGCCATCTCATGCCAGAAGCTATATACCCCCTTCTTGCGCACTTGCTGGTGCACTCGCTGACACTTCTTTCGGTGCTGGCGCACCTTCCCTGTGGCACGGAATTTGCTCGACAGGTGGCAAGTAGCTGTGCCCTGGTGGGGCGCACCGGCTGTGGGAAGAGTAGCTTCCTGAGCGCCTTGGTGCGGCTGTACCCCATCTGCGGCGGAAATCTCTACGTCCATGGCCCGAAGCTCAACGCCAAACAGAATTGACATGTACTGTATACTGTATACCTAAACTGGGCCACGCGGATTTGGTGGTGAAACCACAAGCACCTGTTGTTGTCGTTGGCGGATTTCTGTGGTTTTCCTTACTTTTACTTCGGAGCTTGTCAACCGTTGTCTTCGCTGTTGTCAGATGTTCATCCTGTGAAGTAACCATTGGACTCACCCATCTCTGGCGCCGCAGACCTGGCACACCTCTGCGAGGTCAGAACGTGCAGATTTTGCCGCTGCCGGTGCTGCGCTCCACGGTCCGCGTGCTCTTACAGGCAGAATGCGATGCGGGAAGTCGCCCGTGTGTTGAAGAGCTACTAAGCTTGGGCTGCGAAGTACGTGAAAAGACCACAGTGGTCGATGTGTGACAGGTCTGATGAAGTTCAGCTGGACAGCATTTGGATAAGACTCATAACCTTCCAAATTACCATCCGAGGATTCAATCATGCATGGTGACACCGGGCGTCAGCAAGACTTGGCCGAAAAAGTTTTCGCTCGGCAGCGAAGTCCAAACTTCACAGCTCACAGGCTTCAAAAACACTCCCCCCCAGAAAAATAATAAGAGATGGAGCGGCCCAAACCTTTGGTTCCAAATGGTTCCAAGTTGCCTTTTTTATGGAATGAGATAACCAAGATGGAAGATCAGGCTGAGAACGAACCTTCTTCACTCCCCCGGGTCACCTGGATCCGAAAATGATCCGAATCTCAATCTGCTGAGCTTTGAGCGGGCGTTTCAGCCATACGCTGTACGCCGGCGATGGGCGAAGGTCCCAATGCGCGGTGGCGACGTGTTTGGGTGGTTTTTCTCACACCAAGAGACCGGGCCGAGTTGGGCGGCCCGGCACGGGCAAACGGGTTGGATGAGTTGGGTCGTTGGCCATCGTTGGACATCCGTTGGCCCGAGGGAAAGGATGTGACCGCTCGTGCCGATCGCGCCACGCAGGATCCCATCTTCTTCTCGGGGACGATCCGCTCCAATCTCCTCTCGCGCTCACCAGCGATTGTGGCATCGCTGGATGAAGATGAGGCGCTGGGAGCATGGCTTGGATTGGTGATTCGAAGCCCTCGATGCTTCGGAGGGAAGATGTGGTTTGGATTTGTGCTCCAGGTTCCGGCCCCCTAAGGGGTGTCTAATAACAACCCCTTGGAGGTTAAGGGATGTCCATTAACCACCCCTTGGGGGTCCAGGCAAGCTTCATTGTTCCGACCATTTTTCATGGACCTTTTTGGACCTCTTTGGACCTCTCAAGCGACCTACGCCACCGCTCTCACGATTCCGGCGCGCAGAGTGCGCCCTCGCGCATGAAAAGGCGCTGTGGCATTACCTGCGGCAAGCGGGACTGGAAGACCGTGTACGGCAGCTGCCAGATGGCCTCGATGCCAAGGCATGCGGCTTGGGCCGCGGGTTTTTTTCGGCCGGGGGTTGGAGGGTCTGTGGTGAGGTGACGTAGGGAACCCCAAAAGCTTTAACAAACATGGATTTAACCATACTTAACCTGGTCACCAGACCGCAGATTCAACAGTCTTATATTTGATCATCTTGATCTGGGGGATTTGGAGAGTGTTTCCCTCGACGAGCAAATCGGAACCTCGCGGGTTCAGTGCCCGGCTTCGTGTAGCGGCTTCGTTGCTTTTTGAGTTGCTTTCACTGGACATCGTGTAGACGCTTGATGAAACAATAACAGGTCATGAAAAGGGTCTATACAATCCACATGTCCATTTTTTCTTTTATCTGATCAAGATTCCACATCAAATAAAGCCTTTTGTGAAGCCACTCACCGCTTAAACCATGTTAAAACCGACTCTTTCAGGTGGAGGAGAACGGGCAGAACTTCAGCCAGGGAGAGCGGCAACTGCTGTGCCTGGCGAGGGTCTTGGTGACCCCCAAGCAGCTTGGCGTCGGACTGACCCTTTTGCTCCAGGTGATTCTATGCGATTCAGCGACCGGGTCATGACTTCTCACACCTGCCAGCCGGGAATGTGTCTGTGAGTCGCAAGGAAGGCATCTTGAAGTCGATCTGCACCAAGGTACATCATGAAACACCGTACAATAGGTACTCCTAGCATAGGACATCAGCCCACCTATCATCCCTTCCACCTGCCATTACCGCGCCCCGAGGTGCGATGCCGCGAGCGACGCGGCGCCACCGCCGCGGATCTTGCTGTGACGAGCCGACGGCGGCCTGCGACTTGCAGACGGACGAGCGGATCCACGAAACGCTTCTGCATGGCCTGGAGAAGGAGTTGGCGACACGGTGTTCGAGTTGTTTTCTTTTTTTTTGCGAAGAGAGGGAGTAAGAATGAGAAGGTGCTAGTTTGCCGGTGTGTTGGGGGGAAAATGAGAACAGGAAGGTTTCATTTGTGTTTCAGATCCTGAAGATTCCTGAAGAGGAGGAGGAATCATTGAAACATCTTAAAACCCACAGAACTTCTGTGACGGTTTACGTGGCGTTTTTGCTATTGCTGTCTTCTCAGGTTGGCGCGTTTCGGCTCACACGCTTGGCTCTTACAGGACTGGACGCTGGTCGTCGTTTGCCACCGGCTTCATTACATCAGAGAGACGCTTTGACGGAGATGGAGGAAGGAAGCCCAGACGTCAAAGCCAGTCGAAGCCGGTCGATCGACCAAAAGCCTTCGTTCAGAGGCCCAACATGGCCTTTTGGAGTCCACAGGCCATGTTGGGAGAGTAGGTACAACAGGTTGGTCGTTTACTTTGACGAGGTGTTCTATTTTCACCTCGACTACACTGAAAACAGGTCCTAAGGGTGCGCCTGGAGTTGATACATAGCTGCTGCCAGAAACGGGAAAATAGTTGGAATCCCCGCGTGAGAATACACCAAGCCCAAGATCATTTTGGGGCACCAAACCAGGTGTCACAAGCAGGTCCCTCACTTCTTCTTTCGAGTCGACTCGCAGCTTTGGTCAACTCGGGGACCGCCATGTTCGACCTTGGGCAGATCTGCCACGTTCGACCTTGGGCGGGTCGACTCAGCATGTTTCGGAGGGCTCTTGGAAGGAACGACCCCAATACCCTCAATCCGCCGTTGTGTCGGTGCGGTTCCATAGCACACAGAACCAAACACCGAGAGGTCGCTGGGTGTGTGGGCCTTGGTTCGGCCGCCTTTCGACGACCGCTTTTCACCGCCCCGCGCCTTCGGGTTCCGTGCGAAATCAGGTTCCGAAGAGTCTTCGTCTTCGATGCAGGGCGTGTGGTGGAGGAAGGCACTCCGGAGAAGTTGATGGCCCAGGTGCGTGGGAGGGTGGCAACGAGCCAAGCTGGTGGCCCTACTGACCCTACGAACACTCTGGGGACCCTGAGACCCTGGGGTGGTGTGGGAGAATCTCCGAACTTCAAGAATCACCCTGTCCCGCCGACTTTGCGGGCCCTGCAAGTCCACTCGGGTGCCCTCCTCTGATCAGAAATCCAAACAGCAGAAGGACACCAGATGCCTTCAAGTCCAACGTGCGGCGGTAACGGCGGGCTGTTTTCTTCGCGGTTCAAAAGCATGTCCATGCACAGCAAAGCAGTTTTCAACTGCTTTGCTGCCAAGAAGGGGTTTATTAGGTTTCCATCCACGCCCCATTTTGTAGTAAAGCCACCTTTGTATAGAGAGACCTCGCAAGAAAAATGCCGCCAGGCCGGCCACTTGGCCAAGATGTGTCAGCAGCAAGGCGTTCGATGACCTGGCTTTTGCGTGACGACGGGATTCATGAGAACAGGTGATCCCTAAGCTCACCGCAGTTTTCTTAGCAGGTGGGTTGCACTTTCGACAACAAAAACTGATTGGTTGGATTTGAATGGTGCTCTACTCCACGGTCTCCTGGTTGTCATCCTGGAACCCATCTGACACTTAGGTCGACCAATTCCGCTTTTCACTCCCTTGGCGACCATCGCTTCTTCGGTCGACTGGCCGAGAACAAAGACTCTTCCCGTGACCAGTCGCCGGAGTGAGGCACTTGGGTGTAGGTCACCTACGAGACTAGCTCCTTGATTCGGATGCAAAGGTGAATCGATCTATTTGCTTTGACCATCGCGTCAACCATCGCGGGATCTCGAACTAGTTTTTGCCCCCAATGGATGAGAAGGATACACCCGGAGAGAGATCCAGAGCTCGTGGCGGTGCAGGGTTTTCCCTACGCCCACACCGGAGAACCTCTTTTGTGGCGGCCGTACATAGCGTGCCCAGCCGACGTGCCAAAGATTGCAGCGAAAAAGGGGCCGTACAGGCATGCAGAGAAGAACTTGGACACCGGAAACCTAACCCCCCAGACCGGCTCCAGATTCAGAGCATGTGGTGGTTGGGGTGGTTGGGGTGGATGGCGGAGCTCAGTGCCATGCTTTTGGGGACTGCATCAATGATACGCGATGGTGGTAGAGAACTGGTCCATTGACAAGACGCAAGGATCGTTGTCGTTGTGATGGATTTCTGTCATCCGTCGGTGCCACCCACCTCCGTCAGCGAACACGTTTTCCTCGTTCGGGGAGGGTTCACCGAGCGCCCTCGACCATCCGCACCGGGTCTCTGGCCCGGGCCTCCCCCGATCCGCGTAGCACGGGGCAGACGGCAGGATCTTTCCGGAGAAGTTGTTTGGACATCATCGTTCATCAATTCGAGATGTCTGCTCTTCAAATCGGCCGGCTGGGCGAATTAGACATCTCAAAAGATTCAACAATCCCGACCAGCAGCCGACCAGCTGATCATGCATCTCCGACCCAGCACCGCGCTGTTCTTCAGAAAGTACATCCAAGTCTCACTCTCCCGGTGAAAACCAACAAAGCCGCTTCGCCCTGCTTCGCCCTGCTTCGCTCTTCTTCGCATCTGTCAGGACTGCCTGCGGGAGAAGAAGAATGGTCGGACGCTGATTCTGTGCCTTGGAACCGATTCGGCGGATTCGGCGGCTGTCGGGACAGATGGGTTCCTGGACCTTCCTGTGGTGTGCTGGCTTGACATCCAGAAGGAGTGTAGGGGCTTCCAGATGATCCCGATTTCGGAAGGTGCGGACAATAGAACATTCAACTTCGACTTCAACCCAGGCTCAGAACATTCAGCTGTACATCAGGGTTTTCAGACTTCCTGTCAGGGCTATCTTTCTTCCTCGGCCTTGATGTCGCTGTGATGCTGAGGACCACCCACTTCATGGACGAGGCGCGTCGACTGAACTCATCGCATCGGAAATCTGAAATCCATCCGCCGGATGGGGCACAGCTGGTTGAGTGAATCACAGCGAAACGGTGCAGCACAACGAAGAGACGAGACACAACCAGCACCATGTGGAGTTGGGTGGTAGACCCTTCCACCCTTGACGAGGTAGGGAATCCCCTCCAAGAACCACTCGATTTCGGGGTGGTGCTGGAACCAATGTTCTTCTGGCCACCTTTGGCAACTTCGACAGTCTTTTCTGCAAACAGAAGGAGGCTAGAAGCCCAGAAAGCTTGAATTGAGGCTAAGCTTTGGCCGCCTGGCCCACTTGCACAGATGGTCCCCCTCTCGAAGCCACTCTTTTGTTTGAGTCGACCGCCTCACCGCCTCACTCATGGACCATGGACCCGCCTCTTCCGGTTTCGACCAAAAGGGGCGCCCACCGGCCCACCTGCGGAAAGAACAAGACAAACACCCTCCACCTCCACCTGTCTCCACCTCATCACCTGCCCCAACTCCCCCCCCCACTCGTTGCTTTCAGGCGGAAGAGCTCGGGGACCGGATCGCCATCATGGCGGCCGGGAGATCCCAGTGTCGCCGCTGTCGCGATGCGCGCCGGGGCGGGCGCGGGCGGAAAGGGGTTTTCAAGAGGGAGCAAGCTGCGTGGTGAAGAAGCCGAGATTCCATCTTAGAATAGATGTTAACATCTGAGAATACATCTTAGAAGCCGAGAATCCATCTTGTTCAAAAGAAAGTGCACCTTTTTTCAAAAGAGGAAGGTGACGACCCTCTTCACGCTCGCTCTTGTCTTCTGCGGCTCGCGAAGCGGGAGATGGACGGTTCCCAGGATGAAAGCAGATGAAAGCGGATGGGCTTTCCATCAGACGGGCTGATGATCCCTTATAATCCATTGATGTTCAACTAATTATCTAGTTACTTTTGAGCATCAACTTGTCCGAATCCCGATTTGCTAAATGTCCACAAAAGGGCTAGACTTGAATCAAAGAGAATAGAATCCCAACCAAGTGCAAGCCACTGTGGGCTTGGACTGAAACCAGAACACCCCTGACCATCCTCAGACTCAGACAGAGACTCTTTCCAAGCTCCGAGGCCGGTCGCGTGAAGTGTGTGGGCTCCTCACTCTTCTTGAAGTCTCAGTGCCCCTGTGGGCAGGGCTGGAGGAGTTTTGCGGCGCATGGCGACCAGCTCAATATTTACTAATACTATAGCTGTGAAAGAAGAAATCAGGGAGGGCCTACCTAATGGGTTCGGAAAGGCGAAACAACAGTGATTGGGCCAGCAATTCTCGAAATTGGGGTCTCCCTTTCAAAATGCAGCACCCATGTGGCCGCAGGCCAGTTCTTTCAAGATGAGCACGGCAGATCACCCGAAGCGGTCTTGGCTCACTAGCTGGTCCATCTCCTTTCTTCCACGCGGTTTCGCAAGATCTAGAACTCTTGAAGTCCAGTTCTGACTCATTTCACTTTGTTGGAGCTTCTGTGCGACTCGGAGTCATCGATCCCCAAAAAAACATGAACACCCTCATGTCTCGCCTCGACGGTGGGGAGCCGGTGGAACACGGCTCCCAGCAGCGCCAGGTACGGCGTGGGCTACACCTTGACCATTGCCAAGGCTCCACAGATGACCGCCCCTCGGCGCGAAACAGCCGACCTACGGAGGGCGCGACTCTGCCGGGAGGCTCCATGGGCCTTTTTGGCCAAAGAAACAGGTCGACCCCGGAAAGGAACCATTTCAGTTTAGGTGGGGAACCAATTTCAGTCAAAGCCCCAAAAATGCAGACACCACGTGTTTGTGTTTTGTGTTTTTGCTTGCTGCTTTTGTGCATCATTTGGGTGTTAGGCTTTTTGTAGTTCTTTTCTGGCTGCTGTCAAGCCAAGAATCATGGTTTTGGCAACTCCTAGCAATGGGACGAGTTTGCCTCAAAAGTTGTATTGTTCACTCTCGGGTTTCAAACCGCGCTCCTTTTCTTTGAACAACAAAGGGCTTCATGGTAAACTCGGTCAACCAACGATCAAGGAAAATGAAAGCTTCACAGGCGTGTTCATCTTTTGCTCTCCCCTCCCGGACTCTGCCGGGATCTTAAAGGGAGCACGCCACCTTCAAGACTCAAGCCCCTTTCGTTCCACTGGCTTCTTTCTTGAGTGGATCTGTTCACATGAAAGGGCCAACAAAAATGCCGACGGAATCCAAAGCCACCAAACTAAAGCATTCCCCATTCGAATGCCACAATGGCCTGAAAAAAGGTCCGCTCTATGCACCGACCCTCACTGCGACATCCACCCTCTAGGAACTCCATCTCGAATCACCTCCCACTCGCTGCGGAAGAGGACATCGAGTAGAACAAGCACATGCCCCGCCAGTTCGACTTGAGGTAGCTCATCGAGCGGTTTCCTCGACGATTATCCACCCTCACAAACTTCCGGCCATCTTCTAGCCACCCCACTGTGACCACACCTGCCGTGATGCCGTCAGCCGACGGCGGAGCAACAACCTCAGTGTCAAAGAGCTTCTTGCGCCAGTTCTCATGCCGGATGACCGTGACGTCCAAGATGCCCTGGGCAACCTCATGATGCACTACGGAGTGTGAGCCTCGGCCCAAAGGACGATCCAGCTCATCGATCAGAGCAGCAGGCCACATCCATTGGAAGTCCTTCAACTCCTCCCTGCGCAAACGATGCAGAAACTGAGGCAAGGACTCATCCGAGCGAGCAAAATGCACCCCCTCAAAGAAAATGTGTGGACCCGCCGTCAAAAGCCTTCTCTCATCATCCTCCCTCATAGGTGGTTCTCCCTCGGGCACGGTTGCGCAGCGTCGGACAGCTACCTCGGCGCCTCCATCACCCCTTTCACCAGGAGACAAACCTGAAGAAGAGGCCAGGCCGGTGCTCCCAAAGCCCAAGACACCTCTGGTAGTTGAGGATAACGAGGATGAAGGAACCACCCGCACATCTTGAATCTTTTCTACGATGAGTTGGGCTACCCGATCGCCTGGGAGGATTGAAAGAGTGTCCGGACTGTTATTGACCAAGATCACTTTGACTTCCCCCCGATAGTCGGCATCCACTACACCTCCAGCCACGTCAACACCTTTGGCTGCCCACGAGCTTCTTGGAGCAATGCGCCCATAGCAACCTTTTGGGAGCTCAACTGAAATGCCCAAGGGGACCAAACGCCTCTCACCAGGACGAACTTCCACCGCCACCGATGATGCCAGATCCCATCCTGCCGCATCAGAGGAGCCTTTGACGGGAAGTGAAGCGGAATCGCTCATGAACTTCACCCTCATGGTGTCCTCTTTGGTTATCAGCCGTTTGACCCAGAGCCATCCCAGGTCCTTCACCACATGTAGAAAGCAGACCAATCCCGCCAAAAGGAGAACCCACCCTTGATCAGCCCAAAGGTTGGCATCCTTCTGAGGACACTCCTCCCCAGCCTTGCACACCTCCGAGGCATTGGCACCCGGAAGCATTGATGCACCAATTGCCAGCAGCGACAGCGACTTGACCACTGCCTGCTGTTCCAAGGAAGGGAACTGGTAGGTGTTCTTCTCCCCCATCATGGACATGAACTTCTCCTCCGCATCACCCAGTCCCACACCTCGGCAAAAGCGGCTCAAATGCAAGGTTTGAAGAGGCTTCGTGAGACCATCTGCCCACAACGAGGTGCCAACGCGGTGCTCCAAAGTTAGCTCCCCCAACCTCAGGGCCTCCGTGAGGCAATGCGCACGAATCCTCAAATGCCTCGTCCTCCAGCTGCCCCCAGACCCTGAAGCCAGAACCACAGCCGCGCGATTGTCATTGTAGATCTCCAAATCCACCCCATCCAGAAGTAGACTGACCAATGCCCTCACTGACCGGCCAGTTTGAAGCCCTTCAACAATTGCAGTGAGCTCTGCCTCTGCGGTGGAAAGAGCCATCAAAGTCTGCTTCTTTGACTCCCATTGCACTGGACATCCAGCCAGCAAGATGATGGTTCCAGAAATGCTATGGCCATCACCTGGGGAAAAAGAGGCATCTACCAGGACTTCCAATGTGCCAGAGTGGCGCGGCCGTGACCTCTTGAGATCTGGAGCCTTGTCTTCTGGAACTTCCTTGGTGTAGTGCAGGCCAAAGTTGACGGTGTGCCTCAAATACGCCAACACTGCTCCACCCAGTGCTATGGTCCAGCGAGGCTTCTTGACCGCATTCTGTGCCATCTTCATGACCGCCCACGAGATGTCTGGACGGGTTTTTCCGGACAACCAAAGAAGCTCACCAGTAATCTTCTGGGCCTCCCTCACCTTTGGCAAAGACGCCGTCTCCACCTCATTGGACTCCTCTGGAACCTTCACATAGGACAGCGCTTCATGACCTTCATGGCGGTCCAGCACCTCCCGGGTGTAGCAGCCCTGATGCACGAAGTACGACCCATCATCGAGTCTTTGAATCTCCATGCCCAGAAACCTCATGGAACTCCCCCCAATCTTCGCATACCCTGGAGGTGAAGTAGACCACAGCTTTTGAATTGTCTGAGAAGCAGCCTCCGTGACTTTCTCCGACCCCACCATTAGGATGTCATCGACATACACAATCATGTGGCCCAAGACTTCCCCCAGCATCTTGCTTCGTTCGAGGGATCACTTCTCACCTCCTGGATCGCCCACAAATTCGGATCCTCCATAGGGCGGAAACCAAAGCGAACCCCCTGCTCTCCCCCATGGTCAACATCAGCCAGATCCAAAGAGCCCAGCATCTTTTGAAGTTCGGAATCACGGAAGGAACTCCAGTCCTTGGGCGACGTGACAAGACCGTACATCGCGGCAGAGACAAGCCAGTGCTCACCAGGTTGGGCCAAACCAGCTTCTTCTAGGATTCTTGGCGGTTTGACAATCACCGTCTCGCCTTGAGCTTTTGGGGCTAGAAGAAATGCTGACTTCACATCCAGCGACAAGCAATGCCACTGCCTCAGGGAAGCAACCCTCAAGATCATGCGAAGCTGAGTAGAGTCAGCACCAGAAGCATAGATTTCATCACCAGCTCTGGCCTCCATGTAGTTCCCGCAGCACACAATCCTCGAGCGACGTCTTCCATCACCAGCCTTCCTGGTGAACACCCCCATGCCTGGGATGAGCTCAGCCCGTTGACCCTTCTCCTGCGCCTCAGCGATGATGGTTTGAGTCTGCTCCTCACTGATCCGCTGAATGGCATTGTTGTTGTCAAAGTTCTCAATCTCGGTCTTGAGTGAAGGAATCCACAACGGCAAGGTCTTTCGAACTTCCTGAAGGCTGATGGTCTTGGTCTGAAGAAAGATCTCTTCATCCTGGTCAGCAACCTTGGAGGCTTCCCCCTCCAGTTTCTTGCACCCGACTTCACCACCCTTCACCATTTCTTCGATCATGCCATTCTCGAAGTCCAGGTCATAGACCACCGCTATTGAGTCCTTTTCCCCAGCGTGGGTTGACTCCAGTCTGGCAAACTCTTCATTTGCCCACTCCTGCCCTCTACGAAGCCGATCTTGTAGTTCCCAGAGCGCCAAGGACGAAAGCGACGTCTTTTCTCTCAAGCGCCTCCGAGGAACCACCACATTGTCACGAATGTCAGCGGGCTCTGGTCGCTCTTCCAGGGTGAGGACATCTGTCAAGGATGGAGGAAGCTCACCTTGTACCATGTCATTGGTTCGCACGAACTTGCCAGGGTCAATCTCCACGATGTGTCCCCCACTGGTCAAACTCATTTCGTGATCTGGTCCCCGCACCACACCCTGCCTTTTTCGCAAGCGCCAATGCCCTTGAAAGTCATCCCACCCCTTCGTAGTGACCATGACCTTTCGGCCCCAAGGAAGCAACATGGGGGTGGTGAAGCCCAAAGCTTGAAGTTGCAAGCGACCCCGTCGCTCACCCACATGCTTTGCCATCAGTGGCCATTTTTCTTCACCATCTTCTGAGGCTCTGATCAAGGTGTTGATGCTCCTCCGAATCACTCCAACTTCTGCCTCAGCACGGCCGTTTCCTTTCCAGTCACTGCCACTGGTGAAGGTTCTATAGATGCCTCGATCTTCACACCATCTTCTTGTCCCCCACATCTCACCAGCACCATCACTATGAACTCGCCTGACCTCCATCCCCAAATACTTGAGGCGAGCAATCATCCGCGCCAGGCCAGCCTTGAGCTCGGTGCCGTTTCTTGAGGTCAAAGTCTCCACAATGGTGTAATTTCGGATCACGACATCTTCTGCTTCCACCTCCAGTCGCTCCCACTCTTCGAGATCTCGCCCATCCCCTTCCTTCACGGACACCTCCTCCGATTCGACCTCCGGTAGAAGAGGTTCTTCAGGGGCATCTTCCGGCATCTCCTCAAGGCCGCCCAGGATCTCCACCATGGATTGAGGCAGAGGAATCACCCCTTCTGCGTTCTTCTTCACGGGGATGGCGTAAACGCCCACCAGGAAGTATCTTGACTTCTTCCGAAAATCCTCCCCGGGTCGGAACGGACCACAAACATCCAAACTCAAGGTCATGGCATCTGGATGCGGAACTTTCCGATGAGGTCGGGATTTGCCAGCCCCCTTGAGACATGTAACGCACTCCTTGGAAAATGGGATGTGATCCTGCAGGACATGGGCCTTCCATTGATCAGAGGTCATTTTGGCCAACCCAACATGATCTTCTTCACGATCACCGGACTCAGGGTCATCCAACTGCAGCAAAATCCCTTTCACTATCTCCTCCTTGAACCTTTCCGGCCAAGCAGCCCAGCTTCGGCTCTGTGAGGTGCGATCTGCCAACGGTGCAGAGGACTCCAAGTGCTGCCGAGCCTGGTGATCTGTCAACCCATCCAAGCACTTCAGGTGCAGGATGTTGGTGCCCAGAGTAGTGGGTTTTCGACGCTCATGACCAAGTGCACCCAAATCCACACGGACCTCAGCTAGGCCATATCGATCTCTAAAGACCTCCCATTCCGGCCAGGCATAGAAAGAAGGGTACACATTGACGTCATGGGACGGCTTGTATTCCTCAGGATCACGAGGATGCTCTTTCAGAAACAAGACCTTCCTCCTCCGTGCTGCCGATGCCAGAGTGTACAACCACAGCTGCCTCATCCAAAGCACTGCATCGCTCCATGCCAACTCCCTCATGGAGTCCGAGAGATCATTCAAGGCAAAACGCTCTGGGCCTTTCCGTGCTCTCAAAGGTGGAGGACCAGGGCGCCGAAAACGAAGCTTTGAAACAGTACGGCATGGTGGACCACCCAAAATCACATCAACTGTTCCCTTCTCACACACTTCTGCCAAGAAGCTTGCCAAATGGTCGGAGAGAAGATCCTGATTCGAGTCAGCCATCTTGTCGATGCACACCACGGTGCGAGAACTGGAGTCCAAATGCTTTTTCCACCACGATTGCTCCGGTCCGGAGAAAAGGTGCAACACCACCGAAGAGCTCGAGAGAATGCGCTGACGTTGTCGACGATTGAGGGGAACAGATTCAGCCGACCATCTTCCAGTGGGAATCACCCTAGCCAGCAACTCATCAGGAACCTCCGGCCACATCTCCCTCAAATCAGTGAGCCACTTCCAAACATTCGGAGCTAGATCACCCGGGTTTCCCGCCCGAAGAGCCGCCACACGCCTCGTCATCTCCTCCTCATGCGCCTCAAGCTCCGAGATCAAACGATGGGCCATAGACAGATCAACTGTGGGGCAACCAGCCTCTAACTCCACTTCAACCTTCACCCCGTTCGGATCCAGCAGCTCGAAAGCATCGCTCTCCCATCTGACACGATATCCAAGACGCACCACCTTTCCCAGCGGCACAATGATTTGGGTGTCAAAGTCCGTGATGAGGGTTCCCGAGTGTGCCACCTGCCTCAACGTAGTGACACCTGCCGCCAATTCGACCTTGATGGGAATTGCCCGGTCATACTCTGACTTTGAACGAGCTGGTCGAAGAACATGGGTTGCACCACCATCCAACAACGCCCGAGTCGCCCCTTTCACCGGCGTGACTGAACTCAACGAAACAGCCTTGATCGACGGCCTCAGGGACTTCAAAAGCTGCACTGCTTCTTTCATCAAGTCTTCGGAGGGCTGAATAGTTGGCGGATGGAACAGCATGGCCGAAGACGAGTCACTCGACTGACCAGCTCCCCCTTCACCACCAGCTCCACTGATTTCCTTGCCCTTGACCTCCTCCGGGACCTCCTTCTTGACCCGTGGGACTTCTTTCACCGGGCAATCAGGTTTCAGGTGCTGGCTGGAACCACAACTCCAGCATCGTCCTTGCTTGGAAACTCCTTTCCACTCATGCGGAAACGAACAGGCTTGCCCCTTCTTGCATCCAGCATCCGACAGAAAGTAGCGGCAGACTGGCTTGTCTCCTTGACTTGCCTTTTGGTCTCCCTTTGCACTCTTTGGATCTGACTTGACGTTCTTGGGGTCCTTGGAGTCCTTAGATGTCTTTCCGTCTGCCGCATCACGGAGCTTGTCCTTGGTGTGCCGAGACTTGCCACCCTCCTCCTTTGCAATGCCACCATCCCCATCCAACGCCCGGATCTTCACCGAGTCCTTCACAGGAAGATTGGCGCTCCCATGGAAAGTCGCCTCACCTTCAGCCAAAAGCGACTCCGCAAACTGCTGAATACCCTGATCCGTGGGGGCGACATCAATCCTCAGTGCTGCTCTGGTGACTTGCAAGCGGAACTCCACCTGCGACGAAAGCTTAGCCAAACCAGCTGCAAAGCGATCCAAAGTCGCCAGAAGGAGAACTGGATCTGGCGGCTGAATTCCGAGCTCCTGCACCCGGGTCAACCATCGTCTCCAAGCCCGCAAAGAGCTCAGCCAGTCTCCCAACTGGGATGGGACTTTTTGTTCCACCAACTGCTTCAGCAAGGTCGTCCTTTCTCCCAAGCCGCCTGGCTGATAGACACGTAGGATCTTGTAAACAATGCTCACCGAGCTAACTTCACGCTGCGACACCAGCTCAGAGCGAATGGACTCAGGAATCGCCTTCAGCAACGCCACTGACCCCCTTTGCTCAATACGAAGCCAGGGCGGACGATGAAAGGCAGGTGGACTCACCGCAACCAGTCGCAAGCGCTCCATGGGCTCCGAGTTCAACCAAATGCGATACAAGGTGCCCGCCACATTGAGAACTTCGTCCCACCACAAGGACGAACTGGAGCTCATGTCTCTCAAAAAAGGTCCAATTGTAGTCAACCAATCGCCTGCGATGAGAGGGCCAATCTCCGATTCCGAGAGCTCCTGAAGCGAGGGCAATTCCACAGCACGAACCGACTCCTGTTGGGCCATCAGGCCGCCCAGCCAAGCAGGAAAGCCAGCGTAGTTCAGGCCTGGATCTCCACCACCACCCGGACCACCTCCTCCTGGAGGACCTGGATTGCCGCCTCCACCCGGTCGACCTCCCCCCGGCCATCCTCCACCAGGAAAACCTCCAGGAAATCCCCCAGGAAGGCCTCCTCCATGGAAACCATCAGGTAGGCCGCCGCCAGGACCAAAAGGTGGACCACCAGGAAAATCACCTCCGCCACCCGGAAAGCCACCATAACCGGGGTTCCCGCCATTTGAACCACCATTCTGCCCAGGACGGCTGTTATCTTGAGGCGACCCAGCACCATGCGACCCTCCACCATGATGTCCACCACCACTCGAAGAGTCACCTGGTTGACCTCCAGCCGGATTACCCGATTGTTCGACCGACACCGGATCTCCCGGAGTAGAGGACTCCACACGACCTTGAGGCTGAGAACCTCGAACTTGTCCCGCATGTCGAGGACCACCACGAGTGCCACCCAGGGAACCCTCAACCTCAAAGTCCCTTCCATCAGACCCCTTTATGCTAGGCAACCAGGACTGAAACGCACCTCCAGCTGCAGACACCCTGTTGAACACCTCCATCAAGCTGGTCCTTGGTCCACCAGGATGCCCAAGTTGGTCACCATAATCATTGCGAGGATCAGGAAGGCCAAGTTGACGACACCCTCTACGCCCACCGTCATTCATCAAAGGGCCCAGCAACCCTCCATCCGTCGGCCGCGAAGACGACGTCATGCCCATCCTCATGGCTTCCATCATGGAACTCATCATACTCATGGCCCACGGAGGCGGCTGCCCCCACTGCTGTCCCGGACCACTCCAGCGGCCTTCGCCCGAGCTGCTCATGAAGGCCTCACGTTCACTCCAAAGTCTAGCATTCTCCGAAACCAGGCTTTGGATCATCGCTCGAAACGCTTCAGGACCTTCTCGTGGCGGGCTGACCCCAGTCGGCTCACCAGGAAGAAGCTCAGGTGAATCTTGTGGGACAGGTGGAAGATCTGACGGCCTAATGGCGCGGAGAATCGCTTCGTCCCTCATACCTTCGGACCAGAAAGGGTTCCAATTCGATGGCCCGAGCACCGTGGGTTGTCCCGAAGGCCTTGCCAGCGTTCCATCAGCCGGCCTCACATCTTCTATCGCTCGAACTCCAGATTCAGGAGTCTTCTCAGAAGTCGCGCCTTCACTCATGGCGAACCTAGAAAAAAGAGCCAGCCACTAAAGCGTAAGGCTTGGGCTCATAACCCTCTCGGGTTTCAAACCGCGCTCCTTTTCTTTGAACAACAAAGGGCTTCATGGTAAACTCGGTCAACCAACGATCAAGGAAAATGAAAGCTTCACAGGCGTGTTCATCTTTTGCTGTTCATATATCAGTGCTCTCCTGGAAGACAACTGTTCTCTACCACCCTTTGCTCATAGGATTTTGAACTGCTTCTCACTCCGGGTTCTACACCACCCATCGTCACCCATCTTCAGGAGGAGCAGTCGGTGGCGCTGCGGACCTTGATCACCTCGAAATGCTCCAAAGCAGAGGTCTTGAGTGATGTAGGCACGATGGTGCTCTCTCCTGTGGGGGTTCACCAGCAGGATGGATCCAAGTAAAAATGGCGGCACCGAAAAAAGATGCTCTTTCCACCCGGTTTCTGGTGGGGTTCGAGTTGGATTGGTTTGATCTTCGAATTCTCCTGACATGGCTCGAACACCCTACAGCTGGGCATACTCCATCCACACGAAGTGAAACCAACTCCGCCAGCGTCGGTGCTGTGCTGGGGAGGTGCAGAGCTGACCTACCGGATGCCCTTCGAAGAGAGTTCGCGCTTTCCGGAGCTCTTCGAGCAAATGGAGCAAGAGCCCTTGCGCGGCGCGGCCGAGATGAGACGAGACTTGTGACTGTTGGGGATGGATTAGATACAGTGTTAGCACCCAAGAGCTACCATACTAAATCATACAAAAGTATTAATGAAACGTATATCAGTGGTGACTTTGTTGGGAGGACCATGGGTGAGATGAATGCTAGCGTATTCGTATTCACCTGCTAGTGCTGTAAGCACGCGTAACAACTGCGTAGCAACTGCGTAGAACTTCAATAATCACACGGTCCACCAATGGCACACAGTCTGTTTCCGGACGTTCCAGGATTGTTTTTAAAACATATCTTGTGAAGCAAACGACCAGCATTCAAGGAAGGCCCCCGACAGCAAGAATCAACAGACTGGGTTTACTCTAAAAGGATCCAACGATTTCGAACATGTCTAGCATCCAGGTTGACATGGGGCAGCCCTGTCCTGAGCCAAACGAGAAGTTGCTCGTGATGCAGCTGGCTCCATCATTTCCAGCTCCACCAGCCCCCCGAAACCTCTTTCCTCACTGCACACCCGCACTCGCCCACCCCCAGCACTTGGCCAATTCGTCAGTCATTGGTTTCGGTCCACCCACCCTCACATCCTCCAATCAGAGCTACAGGGTGGTGCCACCTGTGCTCCTCCCCTCCCCTCCGTGTCGGACTGCCCGTCGTGCGGCGCGTGCGGAGGCTATGGCGTGGAGCTCTTCGGCGTCTCCGTAACGACGCTGGAGGAGGTCTTTCTGCGCGTGGGCCGCGACCACACCGAAGCCGATGTGGCGGCGGACGAGCGCTTGCAGCAGGTCGGTCTGGTCAGGGGCGGCTGGTGCGGGCGGGTGGGGTGGGTGAGCAGGAGAACTGGGGAAGTGGCATGAAGTGGGTGATTTTGAGGGAGGGGTGACGACCATTTGATTCGCTGACTATAGCTTGTAAGGTGTGTCTTGCATATGAATGACGACGATTTGGGCCTGCGAAGACCACAGACATGCGTCTGGACATGCTTTGGGATTGCCATCAAAGGGGAGGATCTGAGCAGTCTATTTTGTGCAAAGACCACTCCGACCCTGAGATTTCTCAACCCAAATAGTCCGCCAGCAACTCAACTTAGAAGAAGCGAATTGAGAACAGCATTCCCGAAGAGCTATCCTGGTCGACCGCTCGATAAAAGACATCAACATCATCAGCATATGCAACGCATCCTCAAACCCAGGCCAACCGGATGTCTTTTGAAGATAAACTGAGAGTGTATTTGGTGTATTCCAACCCTGAGAAAGCAAACACCCGAAGATCAACCCCTTTGATCCAAACCAGACCGTCACACGCCACCGCTCCACCGGATGAAAACATCTCCTGCCGCCTCTGCCCGCCGCGTCCGAGGCCAGCTTCGTGCGGCAGATCTCCCAGGAGCGCGAGGCCCGGCGCAGCGGAGTCAGCCAGCGGAGTCCATCGGCGGTGCGGGTCTCCACCGAGGCGGAGCGGGTCGAACGTGGGTGGTGGGAGGATGTGGGGAGGGAGGCATTTTTGGGGTGACGCCTGGGGTTGACCCTTTTCTTTTCGGTGGACGTTGGAAGAAGACGTGAAGAAGCAGAAGTAGCAGAAGTGAAGGGTTGGTGGGTGGGTCGTGACCTGCTGGTCGATTCTCCGGTCGACTCACCGAGGCTTCATCCGATGCTGCAGTGCCCCTCACCAATGACAGGAGCCGCCGGTGGGGTCACCGGTGAAGTCTTCATGCGAAGCACAAGACCTGTTGTATCAATAGTCACATGAATTAAACAACAACTCACCCCAAAAATGTATATTCCACCTTTCCCCTCCCATTTGAGTAGAATTTGTATCTTGTCTGTTCCATGTCCAGCGGAAAGAAAACCGTTTGCAGGCCAGAAAAGTTGCAGAACAGTGATAGTTAGTAACAGTGATGGATTATGAATGAGGGATTATGATCTTTCTTTCTTTCAAATGGACAGTTCGATTGGACCGGCAAGGGATTATGATCATCGGAACCAAAAAAATCAACGGCCAACGGCTTTCCTTTCGGCCCTCGACCGTCTCTCTCGACGCGTTCTCATGGGAGGATCGACCCGTCGTCTACGGCGAGCTTTGGGAAGCACGTGCATGCGCTGCTCACCAAGCGCTACCACAACGCTCGAAGGGATCGAAAGGAGACCTCTTAGGGACATTTTTTCCGTTTTTTTGGTTTTGTGTGTGTTCTTGGTTTTCTTCAGAGGTCCAAGACCAGCATGGACATTCCTCTTTAAATGATATGATGGTGTTCCTGGATTGAGGAACACATGGTGAAAGGATAAGGATGTTTACAAGGTTCTCCTTTTTTCCGCATGACATTCACATCGCATGACACCAGGCAGGGCACGCTTCTTCTGCCTTGGTTCGACCTGAACAGATGGGATGAACATGTACCAATCTGACCTGAAACGCCTTGATGCTGTGGCGGTGGTCCTTCGTTAGCGGTTGGAAGAGGGGTAGCGATCCACACAGATCCAATGCCTAGTTCTGACTGTCAAAAGATGGGTTCTTTCATGTTTGGAATTTGGGCGGGACCTGGTTTTGGAGCGCTTTTGACCACTGAACTTCCATATATTTCTGATCGCATGGAAGCTGCTCGTTAAACGGAGCCTCTCCCAGCCAGGCCTGGTGTTGCCAAGTCTTGCTGCCCTTAATCTTCCTCTTAGCCGCCCTGCTGACCATGCGCTTCGCAGGGATCGGTGACTACCAGGCGCCGTTGACCGCACGCAGCTCGCACGGCTTCTTCGGCCGCCCTTGGCGGGAAGGAATTGGATTCTCCAAGCCGAGCCGGATCGCGTCGAACGCAGCATTTTGGACCTTCCCTGCTCACGTACGCGAGGGAATGACCGGACGAACGACCCTTAGTGATCCTGGTTTCTTGGTTTCTTGGACCATCCGCAGTCTGACCGGATGAACATGCGAGGGGCCTTAGAATTGGTGCCCAGTCTACCGAACATCCTCCTCGGACTTTCGAGTCTCCACCACGTCACCGGTGCCTACCACGGCCAGGCGGCGCCGCTGAGCGTTTCGGCACTGCCAGGGCCTTCAGAGCTGGTGCTGGTGCCGGGGCACAATGTCTCCGCGGAGGCGGTGCAGGCGTTGATGGCGCAGAGTGGCCAGCAGATCCACCAGGTGCGTGGTATGGGCACATGTGGTGGGCGCATCGCGATGGCAGCACGGTGGTTACCGTGGTTGAAAGAGGTGTGCTGGCAGCCGGTGAGTCGGTGAGTCCGTGAGCGAACTAGATATTTCAGGAGGGTGTGGTGCAATGGGTTTGTTGATGCTGGGAAGTGAACGCGTCCCTTGCTTTGTTCCACCGGTCAAATACTCCGTGGTTGGAAGCCAGCAGTGAGAGCGGAAGGCATCCAACGGCGAGATGTGGCGGTGGTGCCAAAGCTCAAAATCAGCCAACCGCTCAGTCGTAGGCTATAGGGATGTGCCGACCTTCTAGGTCGGCACCGTGCAGGTTGAAGGTCCTATGACCGCCTTGGAGTTCAGCAACTACTTGGAGGCGGATCTTCCGATGTTGGAATGCCGGGATTTCATGGTGCTCAGTCTGTTTAGTTGATCTGCCAATACTGAAGAACACATAAGAAAACTGGGGATTCTCTGGCAATGCAGTCACCAAGTGAACCCTAAAGCCCGTAGGAGAAGTTCGCCAATACTTTGCCCCTACTCAGCTACTTTCGAAAGCCTTCATCAACTTACCAATCCTGCTACTTGATATCTCCTTGATAGCAACCCTGCCAACCACCCGTTCGCAGCCGCATGTGACCCTCTCAGTTCAGCGGCAACCCAAGCACCCCTTACAGATCTCTCCCTGCAGGACACCTACTACCGCAGTGATTCCCTGCACCGCTGGGGTGCCCTGCGCGTGGTTCACGTTCCAGCGCCTTGTTGATCGAACCTCACAGAGCGTTCGGTGTTTCCCCTCCGGCCAACCGCGGTTTCCGGAAAGGAATTTCTTAGCACGGTTGCCGCATCGCGTGGCCGTGCATCGCGCGATCCCTTGCTGTTTCATATATACATTTACATGTTGTGTCGATGTTGCGCCCCATCCATCTGTCACCAAAGAAGTCGCAGGCCATGGTCGCCCAGTCGCCTTTGACATGTTGCCATGGGTTCCGCAGGTCGCCAGACCTGCATCATGTTACATCATGTTACATACGAAAGCTTGCCGTAAGAAGCCCGAGCAGTGTGACCACACTCTTGGGGGAAAGGGCCGCTAGGCTACAAAGCTCCACATTCACTCTTCCGCTGAAGAGGAGCTGCGTCGCCGAAGTTGGCACCTAAGGATTGGTCCTCGCCCAACACCTCCTACAAGGAGACCTGGCTGCAACATGCGCCCCAAAATGGGTCGAATTAGCATCTCAACAAATGCGCCCCAAAGTGTTCCAGGATCTCACAGATGTGATAAAGGCCACGATGCTTAAGCATAAGGAACAAATCCTGAGGGACATCCTACTATCCATTCTGTTCCCTGTCCTTATCCATTCTCTGCACCTTGTTTCTTGTTGCAACCGACCCGACTCAGCTGGGTATACCCCCCTCTCTACCCAGGTGGGTCTCCCTCCACCTCGACCGCCTTGGGCGCCCGCGCGGCGCCCGCGCCGTCCCGCCCTCGGCAGGTCGGCGCCTTCGACGTGGCGGGCTACGCCCGCCCGGGCCGCGTGGAGTCGGCGGCGATGAATCTGACGGTGCCGGTGGGCACCTTGTGGAACGAGAAGGCCCGGGTTTTGAAAGGCAAAATGGAGGGGCATATGAGAGAGAGGGGTATCATGGGGTGCAGGTCATGTGGTCAAGATGCGACTTGGGTAGGTTTTTCTTCGGGCCTTGGCCTCCAAGTTTGATGCTGTGGCGCTGTGGCATGTTGGTTGAAGGCAAAGGCCAGGCCTTTGTTGCAGGGGCCCAGTAGTGTGTCGTTAAAGATAAGGTCCACATTGTGAGATCAATCAAGGGTACCAGGAAGATCCAGGAAGATCATCGTCCCCCAGGTTTGGGCCACGCCCACCTCGTATAATCTCCCCATTCCCATTCTGAAATACCTATAGGCCATTTGTATCACAACACAGTCCCCCAAACCCAAATGGATCCAAATGGTGCCTAGGCCCCAGAAGGCATCACAGTCGAAGAATTGCGCCAGCGCATTTGGGGGTGTCCTCCTCTGTTGGTCCCGAGGCGACGACGCTGCTGGGCACCACGGTGCCTCTATCCCGACTGAGCCTTGGACGCGACGCGCCACTTGGGGTGGAGGGTTGGAGCGGTTTTCATGGGAGTTGGAGCGAGGAAAGTGGTTTCATGGTAGTTTTCATGGGATTTGATTTTGTTAATTTTTTTCCCCTGAAGGGAGATCATCCTTAGAGTTGGTGACGTGAATTGAATTGGGGAAAGCGACTGGCTGGCACCAGGGTAGGTGAAGAGGCTTTTGCTTGAATTTTGATTCAACTTGGGAGGTGCAGATGGGCATGAACGAGAGAAGATCCACGTGCATAGTATCTCCGTCGCAGAACATGATGATAGATTCATAACAGCTGTGCGCACTAAAGTCTCGCGAGGATGGTAACCAGATTGAGAACCGGCATTTTTGGCATTGGATTTATATGAACTATTAAATCTATTTGACTAGATTCATCTATAGATTCTGCTATTTATTCAAACACCCGGCGCCTAATTACTTGCTAGAAGAATCTAGAAAAGGATGTTTGAACTCCCTCCATCAAGCTTTCGAATTCTCTGAGGAACAACCGCTTGCAGGCCAGGGGCTTTCACCTTCTTGAGAAACACTCGAGGATCATTCGATCTTTCGATCTGTTCATTCTGCTTGTTTTCTCTGACGTTTTACGACCCTTGCGCCATGTGGGACGTGATGAGACTCTCACGATCATTCGAAGAAAACGCCACCCGACACCACGCCACGCCCGGTTGACCGCCACACGCAGGTGGATTTGTTTTGGAACTCTTCGGCGCGTGATGCGCTGCCCATCTTCTACCAGAGCATCCACCAAGCAGCACTCAGTCAGGCGTTGGGTGCTGATGTGCTCAAGGACTCCAGAGGAAGCTTGTCATAACGTGTACGCTGTGTTAATTTGGGTCCAACTGCCAAGTTGCGCCAACTGCAATGAGTCAGGAATTTTGTGTCTTACCACTGTAAGTTCTTCTTCTTGTCCGGGGCTACACGGATCGATTCAAGATGATTTTCTGTCATGGTCTCAAGCTTTGGACCCTTCCGTGGCAGGATTCGAAGATCAAGATGAGCAACCAGCCCTTCCCGCTCACAAGCGCACAGAAGGATCTCACCAACACACAGACGTCCCTGAATTTGGCTTTGGGCTTCCCGGTCATCTTAGTTCCGCGGAACTTCTTGATCTCTCCAGTTTGATACCAAAGGTGAGTTGCAAAGGACAACCAAGAAGGGACCACCTTTGGCCTTTGAACAAGCTTTTCTCAACTGAAGAAGGATCACCCTGGAATCAATCTTCTCTCGTGTGGCCAGTGTTGGGAAGAGAAGAACACCTGTGAACATGTTTGGTACTGGCATGGATGATTTAAAGGTGCATAGACATGAGCACTGCTTGGTGAGACCACAAGACATTGCAGACCACAGGGTATGAGGCTTTGATTCTGCATATGGCACCCAGAAACAAAAGTGAAACCATGTTCAAGTACTGTAAATGTGTTTTAAACAGGACATGGACTTTTGTATTGGGACCCACTTGGTCGATTGCACCGTCCTCCAACCAGTCCCAGCGTCTTCCGAGCTTCCCGCCCGACAGCGGAAGGATCGGAGTGGGGGTTGCTTACCAGTGAGGTAAATGGTACCCAGGGAATACCCCAGGGGGTTACCTTTTAAATGGTACCTTTAGCAGTGGGTCCACTTTTGGCGTTTTCTTGAAGTCCATCTTTAGGCCATTTTCCAGTAGTACCCCAGGGTCTCACCTGCAGCTAGACCCAAACTTGGCTCCTCCCACTGTACAGAACCAACAAACTCGGCTTCCGAAGAGGCGTACTCTTGGACACAAACAGTCCTTTTTTGGTTTAGAAGGGTTTTCTTACTGAACCACTAGTTCAGTTAAACCCGAAAGACAAAAAACCGAGCTGGCTCGATCCACCAGGTTTCGCCTTCATCCCTGCCTCTGTGGGTGCCTTCGTGGTGCTGGAGAGGGAGACAGGCAGCAAACATCTGCAAGTGATTAGTGGAGTGAACTTTGTGACTTGGCGAGGGCGAAGCCTGGGCGCAGCCACAGGCGCAGAGCTTTTGTGAGGAAACCACCCCTACGCGCTTTGCGACGCCATGACGAAATCAATCCTCATGACCCAACAGGTGGTGCCATCCACGGCCCATGATGGTTTCAGTGTGTAAGCACAACGAAGCACCCTTTTGATGCGGGGTTCTTTTATGCGGTCCTTTTGATCCAGTGATGTGAGGGAGCGGGGCTGGTTGATTCCAGGGATCAAGGACACAGACGTGGCATCTTTAGGATGCAGAATGAGTTGAGCAAGCAGATAAAAGACGTGGGACCCATGATTTGATCACTTGATCACTTGAGCAGTTGAAATCTCTCAGCCATTTGCGCTGCTTTTTGAGGTGAGCTACTGGTTTTCGACCTGGATCTGGGAGCTTTGGCCGGGCCTAGTTGGCCGGGCGCCGGTCGGCTTGTGGCATGAGTGACAAACCCAAATGAACATTTTCAGTTGGTGCGTCCTGTGGTCACTGTGGTCATGTATTTTGCTCAAGGGTTCCTTTGGGCTGAAGAGCATTCACCTTTATTCAGATCTCAGCAGCAAGAGGTTTTTCTTGATCGAAGGAGGGCGACTGATGCCCAGATTGCGCAACGGGAGCAGACTTTGGATTTCGAAAAGCAGATGCTTCAGGTTGAAAGGCCACATGTCGTGCTTTCGACCGCCGCAACCAAGTGAGCAAAACACAATGTTCGAAGACTTGAAAGGTCGCCCATGCGCGGATCGAAAAAGAACATGTCCCTTTGTTCCTCTCTGTATCCTCGCTCGTTAGTCTGCCTGTGCGCCCAGGATATCCTGAACTACTTGGTCGCTGCCACGCTGTCCGTGCTGCTCATCGCACTCTTTCAAGTGGACTCCTTGATCAGTGCGGAGATCTTCCCTTGGACCGCCCCATTTTCCAGTTTGTGTTTGGTGGTTTGGAGCATGCTGCTCAGTTCTTGACGCATGCGTTTACCCGGTTACTTGCTTAAATGACTTACAGATACGAGTTCAATTGGATGGAGAGCGACCCTATTCCTCCACAAAAGGGGTCTTCCTGCATTGAGCTTGGGATGGTGTCGGGATCGGCGAGGACTTGTCTCTGCGTGTTGATGTACGGGATCAGCTGCACTTCGTTCACCTATATGCTCTCTTTCCTCTTCAACTCCCACACGGCAGCAGCTGGATGGTGATGGAAGGATGGTGATGGCTGGTGGGCAGGTTTTGGGAAGATCCTTAAGGAAGGGACTGCAATCCACCCTGTGAAAACCACTGGACAACGGTGTGGGTGAGATCAGGTGTGATAGACTCTCCGGTTTCAACATCCAGATTTTGATCTGAAGCAGTATGTATGTAGACTTGGGTCATTTCCGTATGTGTCGGGGTCCTTTCAGTTGGCCCATCCAAACAACAAAGACCAGGTCCACCTGTGAGGTCACGGTCGGTCACGCCGGTGATGTTCTTTTCTTCGCCCAGGCGCAGAACTTGTTGCTGATCATTTACCTCTTCACGGGTGGAATTTTGATGATCGTCACCATCATCCTGAGCATTCTTCCCAGCACCAAGGACCCCAGCACTGACTGAGGGTTCGGCGGAGACAGGCGGTTTGGCCTAGGGTCACATGGTCCAAGCTAGCGCTTCTTTTGCACTCACTGCCTACTTCGGGTCCTGCGAGAAAAGGACCTCTCAAGATCTGGCAAGTAGCATCAGTGAATATTTCCCAAATAGGAACAGGACAGCGAAAAGGAAGGCCAGGACCATGATACTTGCGCTGAGCAGAATGAACCTCCGACTTCTCGACGTCTTTGCCTTCGACACCGGTGAAGCCAAAGAAATCCTCCAACGAGCCGCAAACACCGCAAACATGCTCACGCAAACATGGCGTACCAATCTGAGCAACACCGGCCAGCTGGCCACTTCTTAGAGCTGAGAGCAGAGGAACGTGTCCAGAGACAGTTCAGGACTTGGCGCGGAACGTGTTGATCTACCTCTTCCGGATCTTGCCCAACTTCTGCCTGGCCGACAGTTTGACGAACTTGATTACGCGTCAGAACCCGGGCTTGTGGTTGGGCCCTTTGGCAGAGTTCAGTGTAGCGGACTGGAAGTGGACTGGAGACTGGTGACAAGATGTGATGAAGGTGAAGTGACCGGAGGAAGGTGAGAAGTGATTTTGGTAGTGATGCAGATGCTGGGTGATGCCGGGTGATGGTTGATAAATGTTGACAATGGTTGAGGGTGTTTGCTGCGTCAAAATGATGATGTTGAAATTGCTGGACTTGTTCTGTTGGCCTTCAAGCTTCCGCTTAGCCTTTGAAAGTCCTCCGGAACCAGAGTTCTGTTTTTTGGGGTGCCGCAGGCCGCTGCCGTCGGTTTTTTGCCGACCCGCCAAGAAGAGACACTCATTGGTACTCAGCCCTTCTAAGGGGTGTTCCAGGGTGATCCATCCACCCAGGAAGATGAACATAGAACCTGAAAACCACGTCGGGTTGTAGAGGAAAGTAGTCTTCCAAAGGTCCATGCCATCAGCTTCACGTGAGGTAAGGAGGGCCCCCGCTGGGCTGAACCCCCCCTTGCCAGGGGGGGCCCTCCTTTACCTCACAACACGTGAAAAATCATGTTGTTGGCTTGATTGAGTCAACGAGCACTTCGTAAGTGCTAATATGTGCTTACTGGGCACTTCAGGCTGCACTCGAGGCTCAAATGAATGGGCTCAGTGGGAGGAATGTTGGAAATAAGATGGGGCTTCCTTATGGGTCTCTTCCCAGGTTACGTCGTTTGGGGCTTCTTCATGAGTCTCCCGGTCTCCCGGTCACCCGGTCGACCGGGTCGCGCAGCTGATGCCGTTTCAAGACGAGGAGTACACTCTGACGGACACGTCACATGGTTACCTGGATGGCATGGTCCTTTTAAAGAAAAGGGGCGGCTTTTGGAGAGAGTGAACTCCACTTCCGATGTCTTGGTCAGAGAGAAGTGATTGCTTCCATTGTGGAAACTTCCCTCCCCACACCTCAAACTCCTCTCCCGGGCCGGCCACGGCCAAACCCCACCGGCCACGCCACGCCCGAGGCGTGGGATGTCCCTTCGAAGGCTGCGAGCCCTATGCGTTGGTCATCGCAGGCGACCGAGACGACCAGCTCCGGCTCGTCGGGGTTCTGGGGGGGCGGTCACGCTCGTTGGCAGGCGGTGGAGAGCTGATGAACTGGTTGGGGCACAACAAAGCATATGGCATATGGAAAATGGGTTCAACCATAACCGCTATAACCCATCTTCCATCGGAGCAAAGCTGGTGCACGGCCAAAAAGTGCGACGTCCGCGGTCCCAGAACCCATCTTCCAAAAGTGAAAAGTGATAGACACATGGCGTCATGATTTTGCGTCATAACTCCACCAAGCTATAATCACCCATGACAACATATCAGAACCATATCACGACACATCCATCACGAACCCTGCAGGTTATGATTTGCTCTACATGGGCATCGGTAGCATCGTCTGGTTCGCCGCCACCCTGCTGCTGGAGCTGGCCTTTGCGACGCCCAAGCTGCGCGCCTTCTTCCAGCTGCGACGCATCGACGTGCCGCGCGAGCCAGGCCGAGCGCTCGGGCCGTGACGGAGGGTGTGGAGACTTCGACAGCGGACGACGGACTGGGAGGAGAAGCAAGCAAGAAGTGGTTGTTTTCAGCTCCAGAAGTACTATAACTATAAGTCATTTCCCAACCTGAGCACGTTGTATGACCGTCAGCGGAAGCGAGATGATCAGTGAGCACCTCTAACGGATCTCAGATTCCGGTGGCGAACCGTGGGCGAAGGAGCGACCCTTCAAATCGATGTAATGAGGCGACGGAGCGGCCCTTTCACCGTTTTAGAAGGATTGATGTGCGGCGATGAATCCCGAGTTGCAGCTGGCTGGTCGCTAAGGCCCCAGGAAGTTTTTTCTAGAGGATCCCAGAATTGGTTCAAGGGAACATCTACAGGAAACCCATCGATTTGGGGGGCATGAACACCATGGTGGTTTTCCTGTCGATTTTCCTTTGAACACATCCCTTGAAAGCAGCTTTTCGGGTGATGGTCCTGATTTAGTCTTCCGGATGAGCGACCGGATGCCATGGAAAAGCACTTTTCGCATCTTTTCGCCGTCCATGAATTCCGGGTGTCCATGAATAGCCCCTTAGGATCCCTTAGGGGTGAAGGGGTGTCCATGAACCACCCCGACTGGGGGTCCTGGTATAAATGCTTTCTGCATCATATCACGTGTTTTTTACTTGTCTTCTGCATGTGAGCTTCGGTTGTGAGCTTCGGGGTCAGGCTGGGTCAGGTCACACAGGTGATGCTGAGCTGCGTCCGAAACCAGGAACCATTGCGGTGAAAGCGACCGGATGCTGCTCCTGGAGCAGTGGACAGCATAATGGACAGGTTAACAGCCATCAAAGACTTGTTCAACCAATTTCCAACACTGGTTGAAACTGAAGCACTTGTTGAAACTGAAACACTTGGGGAATCACTATGAATCACTTCTCTTTTCAACTAAGTTCATCTCACCCGCGATTACCCCAAAGGCCGCGCCTTGGATCGACTAGGTGAGCCCTTGGATCGACAGGTGCAGCTGGAGAAGGAGCGGTCCGGTAGTTCGATCGGGCCGAGCTTACTGTTTTTTTTTGAAAGAAGCAATTGAAAAGAGTATCAAGAAGTAAAAGACCCCACGAAGTCCTTGTGAATTGCATGAAAAAACGAAGTGTTGCGTGGGTTTCTTCTGGTTCTTCTCTCCTGTGGGGGTTGGTGGTGGAGGTCTGCCGAGAGGTCTGACTCTTTATGGCCAGTTGCCAGGTTTCCTGACACTTTTCTCACAGGTTAACACCTATAGGAACGTGGTCATGTTGGTCGCTGAACTCAAACAAAGAGGACTACCCTGAACTCAGCCATATCTCTGGACTGGGATAGGTATTAGAGATGTTTCAGAGTTTCTAAACGCAGCCACAGGTTTGGTCTTTTTCAGCAGATTTCCATATGTTTTCCGGTCTGTTGTTCGACCGGCCAGTCGAACACCATGCAACGGAGGTGGCTCCAGGAACATGAAACGGAGGAGAGATCTGCAAGCTGCTACAACATCAGACAGATGGGGCAAAGTTTCTACTGTATGTAGCATACCGAGCTCAGTGCCCCGAAGCAACCAAACAATATACAGCCATGAATGCTGGTAGCTTACATCCTCGAAAGAAAGCTGGAGGTGGACAAGGCCCAGAAAGAAGCAGGAAGCACTGGGATAGAACCTGACAGAAGATCCTGACAGCCAGAAGATTGAAGACCAGTTTTTGACACCTTTTGATACCAAGTGGTGGTTTACTTTGGACTTGATCAGGGGTCGGACCGCTTTCTTCGGTGATCCGTCAAGAGGAGCGAGTGCAGAGTGGTGCGGCTGACGAGGAGATGGTGGTGCTGAAGGGCTTGCGGAAAGTGCGCCTGGGCAGTTTCAGCAGTTTTGCCGGGAGCCCGCGTGTCGAAGCACCTCTCTGGGTCCCTGAACAGAAAGCGCACAAGCACTCTGTGCCGAGTGAACTGGTTCCGCTCCAGCAGCTGAGCGGTGAAAGCAATTGCGCTTTTAGGATCCCACACAATTGGTCGCGGAAGCGGGGCGCAAGCATTGGCGGAAGCAAGTCATGAGTATAACTTTAGACCGGTTATTGACACCGCTCAATTGCGCCTTTAGGATTCCAAAGAAAAGGGGAGTTTCCAAAGGATTGGATAATTCAGCGTGACCGACTGCCCTTTTTGCACAGATTTGGCTGACTTTGGACATGTCGCACAGCACACATACACACAACCATCCTGGAGTAGATAGAACATTATATGAATAAAATCAATCCCAACAACATGACCAGTAAGTAAGTATCCATTTCTGGTTGCCTTCTTTTTCCGCATATTATATGGTCATGGTGTCCATCTTATGTACAGTAACACACACACACACGATGATTGGAGATATTTCTTGCTTTGCTGTTCAACCGCTGTACAGCCTGCCGACCTCGAGGTTCGCTGGCCGCTCGGGAGCGCCCAAGGTGGCCGTCGAGGAGCGCGGTGGTTTTGGGACCGCGGGTGACATGGGGGCGAAGAGAAGACGTGGGGGGGCGGCGGACTTCAGAACTCTGGAGAGAGTTGAGAGAGGTGCCCACTTTCTCTTTTCGTGTTTCATTTTTTCTGGAGACGTGTCAAGTATAGGTCGAAGTATTGTGGATGTTTTCATGTGTTCGCAAGTACTCGTAGGTCGAGTCAATTCACATCGTCTATTTCCAATGGATCAGTTGTCGCCTCACGGAGCGCTACAGCACCCACCTTTGCAGATCTGCAGATACTCCACATGCAGAGACCCAATGGGTAGAATCCACACACACCACTTGGGCAAGCAGCTGAGTTGACTTCCACTCGTTTCCAACGTTTACAGTATTCTTTGTTGAAACGCGCGAGCTAGGGGAGAATTGGGGACTCCGTCCCAACAAAAAACATGTTTTGGGAGAGGTTCCAGCATCGGTGGCCCATCGAAGCATGTTCCCGCGGATGCTTCCCATCACCTTGTTTGCACCCTTTTTCCCCATGCCCCCGGGAATTCATGTTCTTGCGGGGAGAGTCAGTGAACGGCGGCCTTGTTGGTCACCGTGACCAACTCCTCCCTCTGGCGATGAAGTCACTCCCTCGAACGCCATGGCCGCGAGGACATGTACTTTGGAATCCCTGAGGGCGAATGCTTCGGGTATTTAGGTCTCAACGGTGCTGGGAAGACCACCACCATGTGACCTGGAACTGAAGAGCTCGGGTGGGGGAGCCCTAGCACTGACCCAGTGCAGCAGAGCTGGTAGGGTATCCGTGAATTGGGACACCCATACCAATTCGCGCGGATGTGCTTGGCGTGGGCGGGGTGAAGGGTGTGAAGTACGATGGTTTGGAGTAGGAGTTTCCCTGAGGAGTTGTCAATGTGTCGATTCCTAACTTGCTGGGACTCTGAGGAAGATGCTGACAGGAGAAGAGCTGGCGACCAGTGGGGAGGCCACACTGGGTGGCTTTGACATCAAGACCCAGCAGAACCAGGCGGAGTGAGTCACAATGCACGGACCCCGCCGCAGCAAAAGCTTTGCTCCCGGTCCACCATTTTTTCAGACTTTCAAGCAGTAACTGAAGGGATTGACAGCCATCCGCTCCATATGTTCCGTCTTCTTTTCGTTGCGTTCTTATTGAAAACATCATCATTATTATCATCATCATCATCTCCCTACATCTGGGTACACAATCACGCTCACGATCAGATCGATCCAGTCACGCCAAGTCAGCCAAACCCAGCCGACCTTCCACGCGGCCCTTGCCCGGTGAGGTCCGGCGGCTGATCGGCTACTGTCCACAGTTCGACGCGCTCATCGGGACGTTGACGGCCCGGGAGCACCTGACGCTCTTCGCGCGGATCAAGGGGATGTCGGAAAGGGAGCTGCATGCGTATGTGGCTTGGAAGAGATGGAGGGCAAAGAAGATGGAAGAAGTGATTTTGGAGTTGTGTGATTGGAAAGAGACGGTGGAAGTTGATTCGAGGGCAATGGTAGTCTAATCAAGCGAGGAGAACTCGTGTTCCAGGAAGTTCTCACTTCGTATGGATGCATATGGTCTATCGATGATGGTTCAATTAGAGGTGTGCCAAAGAAGGGCCACATGTATGGACAGGGAACCGTGATGTGGACACGGGATGAGGAATAAGATGTCTGCATGTCTTTTACCGACTGCAATGACTTAAGCATTTCCTCGGAATTGCTATCACCATGTATCACCCTCCTCGTGTATAGAGTATCTCCAGAGTCGGTTTTCGCTTTGAAGACCTTATCTTGAGCAACCTCGTGTTATAACTTGCCCATGGCTGACCATCCAAACCTTTTTCACGACTACCCGATGGCCCTCTGACCAGCCGAAGCAAGCTGACCGCTACCGCCCTCTGACCGGCGATCCGGACCGATCTGGCTCCTCTCCGGCCCCGCTGACTGCGACCAGGTGGATTCACTCCTGGATCAACTGACTCTACGACCCTATGCCGATAAACAAGCCTTCTCCTTCTCTGGAGGAGCTGGCGGGTGGGGGGTGGGAACCCGCTCAGGGTGGGTGGGAAGACGTGGGTGTGTTGATGTGCTGAGTTTCTTCAGCAAGACCCAGGCCCAGGCCTGGACCCGAAGGATGTTTCGGTTTTAAAGCCGCAAGACCACCCGGTGCAGAGCACATCCACCTCGGCTGGACCAAGGACACCGTGATTTGTGGATCTCAGACGCTTTTGGATCTGGGACTTCGCAGACTGGTCAACTCAGAGACTCCCAAGGCCGTAAGGCCGTATAAGGAGAACTGCCCTTCCACCGCCCGGAAGCCAGCCCGCGCAAATTCCCGCACGTGTTCCGGTGGCAGGAACCCGTCGGAAGCTCTCCTTGGGACTGTCGTTGGTGGGTGACCCACGCTGCATCTTCTTGGACGAGCCGACCACAGGCGGCTCCGGGCAGCTCCGAAGACGGAAGCATGTGTGGCTCCGAGTGGAGGGGCGTTGAGGTGATGCCCAAGGGCTTTTCCTGTCACAGGTGTCACATCCTCAGGTAGTTAGACCCCCCTACTACCTATACCTTAACCATCTGCTCAGGAGGTGGTTAGAGCCCTAGGGTAAGAAGGTATGGCCGACATGGGAAACGGTTGAATCGAGTTAAATCTTGTTTCCCCAAAGCATGACTTGAAGTCTTGCAGCATATACTTCTGCTTGTCTCTGAATGAGGAGGCCCTCATGCCGCTTGGGCTTGTCTTATGTTTCCTTGTGCGACAGAACCAGTGGCCTCCAGCTTGTTTAAAAGAATCAATGGATGAAAGGCCCCCAGGTTTGTCACATAGATGTCACATGTCTCAGGTGCAAAGACCTCAATGTTTACACCATGGTCATGGTGTTTTGCTTTGTCCTACCAATCTGCTTCTACTTCAAACAAACAAACGGACCGGCCATGGTTTTCCTCCTTTGCTTCGTTGGTTCTTCGTCGGTTTTCCTCGAACAGGTGTGGATCCAGAGTCACGGCGCTGCATGTGGAAGCTCATCAGTAGCACCATGCTGGGACGTGCGGTGATTTTGACCACACATTCCATGGAGGAATGTGAGGCCTTGTGCAGTAGACTCTTGGAGTGAGCTGGGGGGGAACACTCTTGTGAAAAAAAATGCAACCGGCTTGTAGAACATGAGTGGAGGCAAGCCGTCTTCTGCTCCTACAGCTGAAACAGGATGCAGGTCTCTCTTTTTTGGTCTCACCTAGGTTCACCAGTTTTTCCTCAGCATGTTTCACCCTTTGAAGCAGAGCTCCCAGCCGTGGAAGCCTAGGTGTGAATCGTTTTCGAGGTTTCACCTCTTTCACCATTCTACAATATGATACCCCAATAGCTTAAGTTGGTACCAGGTCAGCTTAAGTTCCATTTCAACATACATTCAGGTCCTTCCACCTCACTCTGTGTTGTGTGTGTTTCACCACTGCACCGATGTGATCCAGACTCCTCCGAGGAATCGGAATTATGGTCAATGGCCGGCTGGTCTGCTTGGGATCAGCCTCTCAATTAAAAGCGACCCATGGATATGGCACCTCACCGGCACGAGTCGGCTCGGATGGCGCCGGGTTCAGAGGAGGACATGCCAGACATGTTCGAAGAAGGCGGGTTTGGCCTCGAAAGGACTGGGGGAAGAACGGTGGATGTGTTGCACTACTTCTCATCATGCCTTTGTTGATCTGCTGGTCCTCCCCGGTTCTTGTTTTGAGCCTTCGTTGGGAGAACAAATCTTGAACTGGTGGTAAGCAAGCCTAATAACTCAGCAGGTGCTTCAAGACCAAACACTCCGGCCGAGTACCAACTCTAGCTGAGTCTCTACGACCATTCCATTCACCATAGATCCATAGGAATGGCCTCCATTCGCTCGTGCAGTCGCTCCACTTCACCTGTAGAGAGACAGGAAAGGCAACTTCCCATGACGACTTCCGGAACAATAGCTTTGTACCTGGAAACCCCGTCCCAACCAGAAACAATTCTGGATAATGTGTTCCAGCCAATTGTTTCGGGTGTCCAGGGCTGGGTTTCCAGGCCCAGTCAATGGTTGGATTGCCAAGTTCCGCACTTTCTTTCCTCCCCATTGGAGTCAAACCATTTTCACCATCCCCTCCGTCCCGAGGCTATCAATTCGAGGTCACCTTCGAGGCCTCGGGCGATTTGGAGCGCGCGCACGCGAACTTGTTGGCCTTCCTCCAGAAGCAGCCCCTCGTCCAGGGCAGGTTCCGGCAGGTTCCGGGCGGTCGAACGTGACAGCAACAGCAGCATCGTCTGGCGGTCGATCGATGCTCGGTTGGTTGGTATGGCCGCGCTTTCGCCGTCCTGCCGGCCGCGGACGTGGGTGGGTGACTGTCTCTCCAAGGTTCACCGGTGTCCGAGTGGAGGAGAGCGTGCCCACCCGACCGAGAGCACGGTGCCTTTCTTCGCACGGCTGCCGTTCTTCAGACGGATGGCCACCGCGTTCTGCGGCGGAGGGTTCGGTGGAGCGGCCTTTTGGGACACTGCACGGGGTAAATGGGCAGCTAATTACCCAGACACGACTAATGGGACTGCCATAGATGCCGATCAGTTGGGGTGGTTTGGGGAGTCAATGTAGGCATATATGGCAGTCCCATTAGTCGTGTCCGGGTTAGATGTACCAGGAGTCACTGTCGGGCGCCGAACTTGGAGGATTGCCCATACAGTGCCCAGAAGATCCACCGTCCGCTGGAGGGGACGAACAAAACCACCCCGTGTTGTGACTCCTGGTAGGTTCAATCCAAGATTGATGTTGACACCCAGGCCCCAAGCAGAAACAACTCTGCTTGGGTTTACCCAGTGAGTCGAGGTGGTATCCGGTACCCGATGTTTCAGCTATCATATGAACGGTGTGTACATGGTATCTGGCTCAAAGCCTGATGCATTGCGTGACTTGGAACCCCATAGGGCGGTTCTGACAGCACTGACTGGGTTTCCAGATGTCGGTTTCCAGGCCTCGAAACATGTCGGACACATGGCCCTATTCTAGATCAACCTTCGGTTCCAAAGGAATCGACCGGTCCGAAGGGATCACCCATTCATGGGATCTGGTCGAAATCGGAGAAGTGAAAACCACGTGGTGGCTTCCCCGGACCAACCAGGTCTCTGACCGGGGAGGTCCCAACCTGGGGTCCTAAACACCGGTCCATTCATATCCAGCATCCGACTTCACAGGTGTTTCCTGGTGACAGGTGTCCAGGTTCACCACCTGTGGTCGGGTCTCCAAACAGCCTGGCCAGGAGGGTCCTGGTAGTGTTTTTGTATGTTTTGGTTTTGTATGCGATGGCCACTGCCTGTGATCTGTTTTTGGGCGGTTGTTCGGTTGACATGGCTCTTGGGGGGAACTGCCACTGCCGCCAAGGTATCGGCTGCCCAAGGGGCAGAAACCCATTAGTGCAATCTTCCGATTGGTGGAGGACCGACGGCAATGATCGAAATTGTTTTTTTCGATAGAGGTCAAGGCCATGCATGGGCCTCACAGATGACCTGGCTGACCTTGGAAGTTGCTGGGAAGTGAATCTTATTTTGGACCATGCGAGACCGAAACAGAGCGACATGTCCGGACTACACTCACTTGATCAAGACATGTCCAGACTACGTCGAAGCCACGATGCTTTCATAGTTCAGTAACACCATTGACTCCATAGAGATATCCATTGATGTTTTTACACACAAGATGTTAATACATCAAGTCTTTTCTGAGCAGGCCCTTGTTTTCACAAGGGTCGATGCTACCTTCGACCCACTCCGTAGGAGTACCTGAAACCTGTTTGGCAGTGAAGATCCCAAGCTTGCCAAACACTCAGGGTAGACCCTGTCTTCAGGAGCGCAAAGCTTCGTTGTGCCGCTCAGTTGCAACTGGCTTCCCATGTGAAGTGATTTCAATCTACTGATGAATGCATTTCGAGGAATAGCACTCGCAAGCATGCATCGCATCAAACCCAGTCTCTCCAACTGGTCTAGCGCCGTCTAGCCGGCCCCAAAGTCGGATCAATCGTCTAGCGAACACCTCAAGGTATCTCTGAGTACTCCGTCTCGGAGACGACCTTGGAACAGCTCTTTATCCAGTTCGCTCGACACCAGGCGCTTCCGCGCAGTCCGCGCAGTCCGCGCGCAGGGCGCTTCCGGCTTGCGGTGCTGCCGGCCGTTTGGACTCGACCACAATGGCACCGGCGTAGCTGTTGAAGGACTCCAGGACTCTGTTGACCAATCCACCGTCGTTGTTTCTCCGCCCAGGCGGGTGTATGCCACCCTGCAAGGGCACCAGACTGCTCCATCAGATGTGAAGGGGAGCGGGACAGCTCAAGGCTAGATCCAAAGGTCATTTCGGAGACCGAAGTCCAGGAATATCCCAAACCACTTCGGTGGTCGACAGTCGAGTTCTGGACTTCCTACGTTGGCCTTGATCTACACAAGGCCTCGATTTTGGAGGAAAGAGCATGGACTTCTGCGGCAGACAGATCACGTTGAAGAAGTCTATCAGACACGGATTCGGCCGCCATGGGTTGAGAACGGCTGGGTGTTCCGCTCAGGTAGAGGAAGATCCCGAAGAGGAGCTTGTGACACAGGCGAGAGAAACGCGAAGGACACCCGTCGAAGGCATCCGGTCGTAGTTGTGAGCTCTTAGTTTCCAGTACCGCTTCCAGTTGGTGCATCTATATAAAAGTGGATTCCTATAGGAGCTATTGTAGTGCACCCTCTGCTCCGAGTTCGGAGACGGTCATCTCTTCGGGTGAACCGGCCGTCTTCCGGCTTCGCCGACGAGACGTCGTTTTCGGCGCCCGCGGTGGTTCGCGAGGCAGCCTCCTCTTCGATGGAGAAGGAGATCCCGCCACTGGACCGACCGACCTCGCCATTGGACGTTCTCTCGTCACCCAACCAAGTCGTCACCCCTTCAGTCGTCTCCCTCCTCCCCTCCCTCTTCAGTTCAAACAGAAGGGCCTAGAGATGGAGGTGGAAATCGGGCCGACCACGTCAGCGTGGAGCGTGGTACTTCCCGAGGTCTCGAGAGATTCAGGTGCCCGAGGTGGATGCAGGCGGGACGGACGCGTGGTTCGGGAGCTGTTTCAAGAGCCATTTTCAGGCATGGAGGTGCACATCTGAGGCCAGGTCCAGTGTTAGGACTGTTCGGTGATGAATGTATGGTGTATAAGTGCATGTATATGTATACAGTGCATACAAACATCATGCCGTCATGCTAAACTGGGTGTTGGCACGAAAGCATGTCCGGTTTCCCCTCCCACGGCTGATGAGCAAACATGAGCAGACAAGCGTTGCACAGCGTCTTCCGAAGCAGGCAACAGCGGCAACATCTAATTAGCTGCTTGATTCGACCTCTTCTCATCAATTCAGACCACCGAATATGGCAGAAGCATGGCAGAATAAACCACCCTTGGTCGGCGCAACGATGACATTTGAGGGTTCAAGAACACACATCGATCGACCAGAAGGTCAGCTTCGCTTGCGATCCGCGCCTTCCGCGACCGTCATCGGCTCGGCGCAGGAAGAGCATCTGGTGCGTGAGGCGGTCTGGCGGATCCAGTGGACCGGTGGTGGAGCTGATCTGTTTCTCTTCTTTTATTCCCCACCTGCCAGGTGAGGGTTGTTAGATTTTTGTCAAATGATTGAAATGTCATGGTGGAGATCACTCGAAGTAAAGTAATTGTTTTGCGGAATTGGGGTCGCTTCTGATGCGTGACAGTAGAGAACATGAGGTGAGACCTGGCCATTCACATGAGACCAAATTATAGAGAAGAACTTCTTGAGGCGTCCAGATGTGCTGTTTCTATCTGATTCTACCACATGTGAGTTGTTTGAAGAACTGGGACTCTGTGCCTGACTACATGGTTTTCAGGGCAGGATTTCCAAACGATCTCGCACGTTCTCATAATATTAATGTTCTTTTGCGTTTCACACTGCATGCATCTCCTTCAAACGAAAAAACTCCCAAAACTGGCCGTGAACACGTCTTGAGAGACCTGCCGAATGCAAAGTCATGTGAGTTGGAACACTGCATGTCATGGTGCTTTCCAAAGCTGTCCCCGGAAGGCTCTCCTTCTCTTGACTGATGTGCTTGGCATCAAAAGCGGCGCCGCGGCGGCCGCGACATGCCGCGACTGGTCGTATTCTCTCTGGACGACGGGGAAGGTGCACCGAACAAACAGCGACGTTTGAGCAACGGTTCAATCTTGGAAGATTTGGAGTCCAACGGTTCTTTTGCCCGACTCCCCAAAGAGTGAGAGACATTGGAAAGAATGAACGCCCAGAGTGGCAGATTTGCCCGTCTGTTTATATATAGGATGGTCTAGGAAAGCCTCCTCTCAACTTCAAGTAGACACCAGAGGCCTCCAAAGGGACATTTCTTCAGTATCAGTCATGCCAGATATGTTCTACATCCTTCAAACGAAGGCACCATTGGTGAGCTTCCTACACCTGAAGTGTCAACAAGCACCATCACGACGACCCATACATGTTCCATCTTTTTCCCTTCCAACCAATGCCTGGAAGGCCAATCCAACCAATCAGAAGGGTAGAGTCCATGGGGTGAGTGCCGTTCTTCGCCGAAGCTTCGAGTCGACTCCCAGTGTCGAGGAGAACCTCCTCGAACCGTGACATCCACTTCCGCTATCTTCGCTTCGAGCGGAGTCCGCGCCCTGAGTCCGCTGGATCAAGTGGCGTAGCGGTGGTGCAGCATGTCGACTGGATCCACAAGACCCGCTGGATGGACGTGCGACTGGAGCAGGATCTATTTTTGTTGAAGACGACAGACATGTTAAATGGATGCAATACCATCGCACGAATCCTCATCCGATTCGACTTGAACTTTACAGCTTAGATCGTCAACATGTTCTGAAAATCTTATGCCAGCAACATCTTGCATAGCAAATACGGGCACCTTTCACACTAAAAACGCTCTTCTTCCCATTCTGATTCAACGCAGTATACATCTCCTTCGCGTAACGTCTGTGGACGCTCCGGGTCCCATGGAGGCCCAAGTCGTGCGGAGTGAGTGAGCCTCGCGTGACGTCCTTCGGTGAGAGCCGGTGGTTCGGGGGGGACACAGAAGACGAGAACTCCGTAAAATCTGGGGCGAAAGGGTTTGGAAATACATCTGGAAGTCAAAGACCATTTTTAAAATGGTTGATCTGGTTTTGTATTGTAAAACCCTTAGTAAAACAATGGTGGTTCGGGATTTCGGCTATTAAAACAATGGTGGTTCGATTTCCAGGGTCTAATCACCAGAACCTTCAAAACGACCGTCCTTGAGATCCAGGTGCAGTCGGTCACGAAGCGTCCGGACCAGAGGTCACTAACAGAGTCTATTAGACTCCTTTGGAGGTCACGCACTGAAGGTCCTGGTACAGGATCTTAATCTTGATGAATGTATTTCCTCCACCCATTTGGATGGAAGAACTGCTTCATTTGGGGGGGTTATGACTTTAGATACATGATCACGTCAGGTTACTAGCTGACCCTGTCATCTAGCTGTATGTTGCAGGCTGTTGCCCTGTTTGAAAGAGGGACTCGCAGAGCTCTATGGGACAAAGCCACAGATTGTGAAAACCGTCCTTTCACTTCTGGACTTCCAAGACCTGGGGCCCGAAGACCACAAGCGCCTGAGCCGAAGGAATTCTGCGGTCACGGTCCATGCGTATTTTGAGCTCAACCAGCCGCGGCAGAAGATTGTGAAAATTCTCTCACTCTGTCAAGAGTGACGATGATTTTGAGGCATGACACGTTTGAATGCCGAAGAAAGGATCAACCTTCGCATAGACCTCCGGGCCCCCAACCTCAGAGGCCTTCGGCGAGTTGGGCCTCCGACTTTCGAGCCTTCCGTTGATGCCAGGATTCCTCAGAGTGTTTGGCACCCGCCAACCCTGAAGGCGAGCGAGCTCGGATGTGCTTTTCGGAACGCCGCGAGAGTGGAGGATGGGAGAGTGGCCATAGCACATGAAGAATCCAACACGAGAACTGCTCAGTTTCAGGGGTCAACCTGCATGGTGGTGCAAGGAGTCCTGCACCTCGTTTTCTCCTGCAAGGAGTCCTACCATCCTACCCTATCTCTTGCAAAGGAATAGGGAAGAGGGGCATTGTTCTGCCACTTCCCTTTCCAGTGTCAAAGGGTTGGACGTCACCAAGCAGTCGCTTTGCATCAGAGTAGTTGGAGTAGTTTCGCAGTTTCCTTCAGGGCCACAGCACTTCAATGCATGTTCAATGCAGCAGGTGCCACACTTCGGTTTAAACACATGCAGACACTCCGCGTGTGTTTTGTTACGAACCAGTGGAAGTAACCTGGCACCGTCTTGCATGATTGCGAAGATTTGCTTCGACGGTTCCTTTACACTGGTACACTTGATTGCGGAAACATGGAACACTTTTGGTTCACTTGTGGATGAAGTGACACGAATCGTGAAACTTCGCTTCGATCAAGTTCGAACCACAGCAATGAAGTGACGGTTCGTTCAAACTCGATACTGGACACTCGAACACCGGAATGTCGTGCAGATGAAACTGCCGTTTATGGACCTATATCAGGATATATCAGATTATATATCAGTGTGAGTACCATTTGGATCCCTTCTTGTCATGTGAGAAAAGTACGACGCAATTCTATGCATGTCGACTTCAAGCCGGAAGTGTCGGATGGGTTTCTTTTTTCAAACAGGGGGTGATTAAACCCATTTGGCCATCGTCCAACTCCTGTAGTGTCGCCCATGAGCTGACCGGGACTACTTGGCATTGGACACCCCCTGACCCGGTTCGGGTATGAGAAGGAGCACTGAGACTCGCAAGTGTGGTCAACGTATGTCACACGATGTTTCCGGGGGACGAACGTTTTGTCCGGGGGACGAAGTTTTGTTGTGTGGCACATCTCCACTTTGCACGTGGCGGTTTGGCGTTTTGGTATGTGTCACACGTGTCACAGGATAAAGGATTCGTGTCGCACCTCTGATTCGGGTGATCGTGGGACGCAGCACAAGGACGTGTGGATACCCAGCACAGATCGCGTTCGATGTTTTTGTTGCATATAGATATATATATATATATAAAATGATATATAGCTGCCCAGAACCCATCGGTTGAGGTTGAGGCGGATGGTAGGGCCGTAAGCCTTCGTTCTTCTGAGGCGATGCGAGCCCAACGAAGAGAACCGAGGATCCCGTTCCGAACCGCGGGTCCGACGACACGCGGGTCCGGGGGGCATGCATACCAGGACCCCTATAGGACTAGGGGTGGTTCATGGACACCCCAAATAGCCCCCTGGCCCAAAGGGGCTATTCATGGACACTCGGAATCCGTGGTGTAAGCATCACTTTCTGACGTCCTGGCTCAAGAGCCACAGAAAAGCTTGGAGTCGATCGCAGTCAAAACCTTAGCACTGGCAAAAGCAGGACACGTCGAGCGGTCTTTAGCGGCCTTCTGGTCATATTCGTGGTAATTGACTAGTCACATCAATTCCGAGTCGCCAGCTTCGTCTCATTTTCTCTCACTTCGCTTCTCTTCTGTCAAGTCTTACCACCCGCGCTTGGTCTCAAACACCGGGCCCAAGTGCCCCACACCAAGTCCCACCCATTGCGTGCCACATCACTCGCCCTCTCCCGCCGCTCGCCGCGCCCTCCGCGCTCTCTCCGCGCCCTCTCCGCGCTCTCCGCGCCAGGAGGATTGCTGGAGCACCTTGTCCAGCCCTGGGCCGACGGGTCCGCGTCTCCTCGCCCGGAGCCCCACGTCTGCCGAGTCCGGTCCGGTCGAGGGGCGCGTTCCGGTCGATTTGGGGTGTCGGTCAGGTCAGGCTGACTGTGTTTCGTCGGGTTTCGTCGGGTTTCGTTGGATGTAAAGCAGGCTGCAGGCGAAGAGGGTCGGGTCGGTCCGGGTCCTTGAGACTTCATGACGATTTCTTGAGCTGCGGAGCTGGATGGCCACTGGAGTGGATCTGCTGGAGCTTGGATGGGTCGACCTAGCAGGCCCTATCAAATGATCTCAAATGAAATAACACTAGTCTAGAACAGATGCATTAAAGGCTTTAATTGGATCCTTTTGGGAGCAAGAGAGGTATCGTAGGGAGAAGTAAACATAAAGTAACTTATCAAATTTGATCTTATTTGCATGGAAACTAACAAACAATTGCTGGAAAAGACCTGTTTGTGGCAAGCCCTTGAATTTTCAATCCGCCGTTGTCAACTCGCCCACAAAAAGGACCAAACATGAAACCAGAATAAACCAGAGATTCATGAAGTTCATGTGTCCAAACCTGGAAGAGGCTTGAAAGTTAACTATCGATCATTATGGCCATTAGTCTGTTTAGTGCTTCTTAATACTTCTTATAGTTGTCATAGTTCCTTTAATTCAGCATTTAGATGGATGATCTCTTTCCGCACCCCAGACCAAACAGACCAAACAGACCCAGATCCCGGAAGTCGTCGCCGTCGCCCTCCGTCCCAGCCGAGGACTCTCCGATGCCCGACTTTCGGGTGCTCACGCCGCAGCACTGGGCGGTGAAGGCCGGGCGCCTGCGAAGAGCTGCG